CTTCTGGATTCTCAATAGTTGTGCCATTTACATCTCCAGGGGATCCAAGTCTAGCTGTACCTAAATGAATGACATCTTGTGGCTCCCACCAGGATTGACCTCATCAATTCCATTCACACTGCCTGCAGTCTTTTAGATAGTCTTGGATTCTGTCTAAATGCAGAAAATCTCTTCTTTTCTCTTCCCAGTCTATCCTCTACATTGGGGTGTGGCTATACTCTATCTTGGCAGCAGCATATCTCCCAGAAGCAAAAGCTACATTGATTATCTAGATGTTCTCTAAGCTTTGTCAACAGCACACAGTGACTGTTTTTTAGATCCAACAGCTACTCAGCCTCATGCCACCTACTGTCATGGTTGTTCCTCTGGCTAGATTTCTGATGTGGCTGCTGCAACTCTGGTTCATCCATATCTACCACCCCATGGACAACCTGCAGTGGCTGCATCTTTGGATCCCAAAACCAGTCCCTTCCAGGCAGTGCTGGTGGATGTATTGTGACAACTTGTTGAAGAAGGCCATGCTTGCATTCCAGACATTCCTCGCTGGTCATCATGTAGAGATTGGTAGGTGGAGTGGTCTTCTATATAAACAAGCAGGGGGCAGTTGGTTGATTCTATTGATATATCTAGTTGTCCAGATCTGGGACTGGTGCTTCAGCAGGAAGATCACCTTGACCACAATTCACGTCACTGAATCCAGCAATATGTTGGCCAATACACTGAGCAGGCAGACCCTTGATACGCATGAGTGATGAATTAATCTGATAGTCTTATAGCAAATCTTTAACAACTGGAAGATACCTTTCATGGATCTGTTTACCACTGCAGACAATGCCATTTGCAGCAGCTTTTGTTCTTGAGCAGGAAAATACAGGGGCTTTCTGGGAGATGCATTCCTGCTTGCTCATGACATAGAGGATTCAATCCTAGACTGTAGGATTTAGTTTGACTGTCCCTGAAGTACTCCAGGCATTAAAGCCTTCCACAAGAAGATCCTATGCTGTGAAGTTGGGGGCCTGATCCATATTGGTGCATGTTGGAGCAAGTTCTCAATCCACTTTTCCAAATGGGATTAAGAGCCTTGCCCAGCTGTATTTACCTGGTGGCTCTCTCTTTGTTCCATGACCCTGTTCAGGGTTCATTGGTTTTCTTCCATCCTTTGAGTAGACACTTCTACATTGTGCAATTACTTTGGCCCGCCACTACTGAATTGTGCAGTTTATGGGTAGAACCTCCATACCTCATCTTCCACAGAGTATAGATGGTGCTGAATCCAGATTCCTCTTCTGAAGGTCATTCAGCCTTTCATTTAAACTATGACATTATTTTACCTGCCTTTTTACCTTCCCTATCCAGCCTGATGGAGTTGATGCTGCATATCCTGGATGTGCATAGAGCACTGGCATTCTACTGCTCCTGGACTAAATCCTTCAGATACTCATGAGAACTTTTCATCTCAAATGGTGGTAGTGCTAAGTAACAGCCAGTCTCTTCACAGACTGTCTTGGCCATATCTCTGTGTATGAACTGTCAGGTCTGCAACTTCTGGTCCAATCAAAAGTGCATTTGGCTAGGACGGTGTCAGCAACAGCACTGCCCTCTACTGGATCTGTGCAAAGCAGCAACTTGGTCTATTCCCTCAACCTTTATTAAGTGCTACAAGGTTGATGTCCATGCCAGATCCAATTGTGCTTTGGGAGAGCATCTTACATTTGTGACACCATCCCACCATTCAGATAGAAGTAAGTTTGTTGTTTGCCCTTATGTGGGATGCTCAGAGACCACGAAGAAGCAAGTCAGGTTGCTTATCTACAATTGTCATTCTTCGAGTGGTCATGTGTGCATTCACAACCTACCCAGCAACCCCATCCATTGCCATATTTTATATGACTCTTCTGATTTTGACAGTCTTCCCTAAGTCTGGAAAGCCACCTGAGTGGTCTCATTTGAACTGAGGGAAAGGATGGGAACTCCTCCCTATTATAACGGATGCTGCTGTGATGGGGTGAGTTTTGCAAAGTGCCTAAATTTTCTCAAGTGGAGCCTATATGTGTGAATGCACACGTTACCAAAGAATGACAATTAGAGGTAAGCAACTGAACTTTATGTAGTAAAAGGTCAATAGATTTGCCATTGTTTCTCAGTTTTTATAACCATAGGAAGAATTAAACTTCAAATTACCTATATTTGCTGAGAACTGAACAGCAGGTTTCGTTGTAACCCCTAGCCTTAGAAAATTTCAGATTTTTTTTTTCTTCAAATTCTGCCATTTTTCTTGCCTGAGGTACTTCCTACTGGGGTCAGAAATGACCCTATTACGTGACTGGTGCTTGTTTGCTTTGAGGGGATGAGGTTAAAGAGCCAGATGCAGCCTAACACAGAATAGAGCAGAACTGTTACTTCCCACGATTTGGACACTATGTTTTGATTAATGTATCCCAGGATTGCATTAACTTTCTTAGGTGCTATATCACACTACTGTGATATTATATTCTGCTTGTGATCCAATAAGACATTTAGATTCTTTAGGTATATACTTCTGCCAAGAGAAGTCCCTCTCATCCTATTATTTATAGTCTTTGAATTTAGTCTCTGAATGCAAAACGTTGCTGTTTTCTCTGTTGAATCTCATCTTGTGAGATTTAGCACATCATAGCAGTCTGTCCTTTTGAATTTTGATTGAGTCATCTATGGTGTTGACTATTATCCATTGCTTTGTGTTATCCACGGATTTGATAGCAACTCCTCTGTATCACAAGTATGGACACATTTAGCAATTTGAGAAACAAAATGTACATGCTGCCAAGCAAAGCATTAGCCTGTGGCCACCAGTTGTCTTTTTCTCAGAATGCCTGAGTCTTACATGTGGTGTAGAGTTATGCAAATTATTCATGCATATGTTGAGCAGCACAGGGTCTAGGGCAGTGTCCTTTGACACTCTATTAGAGAGTTCTCTTTAGGAATACAGGGAGCAGTTAATTAGCGCTCATTGAATATGGTTGCTTAACTGTGGATCTAACATCATGTCGACATGAATATTATGGGAAATGTGTAAAATATATTGTGGAAATGAAGTTATGCTATGTTCACAACATCCCCATGTTCTGTTAAACTAGCAGCTCTGTCAGAAATGGCGATATGGCTTTATTTTGGAGCAAATCAAACTCTCAATGCCTTATAGTAATGGGTGCATAATTTTTACATGCTTATTGCATGATCACTGAATCATCTGTTTGAGAATGTTGTATGATAGTGATGTCAGGCTGACTGATCTGTAGTGTGCTTGATTTATCTTTTCCCCTTCTTTATTATGGAGAAAGCATTTCACTTGTTTTCCAGGAATTCTCAGATTATAGACAGCATCTCTGAAACGATGTCTCAGCTCATTCCTAGCACTCAAGGATGCAGTTAACTTGGTCCTTGAGACTTTAGAACTTATGTAAATAGCTAAGTGCTTTCTGACCATGTCCTACCTTACTCCTAGCTACAAATCTCTCCAAGCATCATCTTCCTTTTTTCCTTCCTGGTTGAATTCAGCCGTCCCACACACACACCCCCATAATGGGAGAGGATTGAGTTGGAGTAGTTGAGTTGTTTCATCTTTACCAATTCACTGTCTTCCTTAAGCATCAGAGTTACCCCCTTCTTGATCATCTTCTTCCTCCTAACATAGCCAGTGTTTCTGTGATGTTCATATTTCTCTCCCTTTGGGATTATTTTATTGCGTTACACCTGGGCATAAAATTCACATCTCTAAGAGAGCTTCAAATACTGCACAACACATTAGCAAAATGGGCCACATACTGCCTTAAACAGGCCCCTGTTTCTTTTTTTTCCATTTATCCTTTTAATACATTCTGGATTTGTGTGTCTTATTTTCAAGACATTTGGCAGCACAATGGCAAGGCAGCTAAGAGGCATTATACTGGATTTGTAGCCACAGCCGGAGCTTTAATCAATAAAAATTCCACAAATCTTTCCTATCACTTCATTTCAACTGAAAGGTATGCTTTTAGTGTTCTCTTTTCTCAAATTCTAAAATAAACCCACAAGTGGGATTTTATCTTGCTGTAATGAAAAGCTTTGAGGTAGAGACCTTAAACTTGAAAATGATTGGTCATTAACCTAACGGTTAGTACTGGATGATTATCCAGCATTTAGGCTTAGCCCTCCTGTGAGATGGAACAGGGCTGCACACTGCCCCAATCTCAACAGGTTTACTCCATTGCTATGGAGAACCCAGACAGCTTCTCCCCCACTGTAGCATCTGTTGCAGTGGGAAAGTGGGACTCTTCAGAGCAGCTGCCTGCTTGGCTCCAAAGAGATGCCACTGTGAGAGAGTACCTAGTGCCTCTCTTAGACCAGAAATCCATCATCTGTTTTGTTTTGAGGAGATCTCAGAGCAGCACAGAGGGTGGATTGTTGCTCACAACTGTCTACCCTCTGGTTTATGCTGGGAATCCTGCAGGTGATCACCTTTGACACCACTCCTCTGGAGCCATTGTCTATCCTCTGGAGCAGCCAACTAAAAGTCATTTTATCCAGAGTTTATAGTGGACAGGCAGCTGCTCTGAATGAGAGGTGTCCCACAAGATCCACTGGAACACCTGTCCAGCTAAGCAATGAGGAAGGCACCCACAGAACCAGGCAATAGCAACAAGAGTGAGGTGCAGTGACCACATAAAAGGAAGTTAGGTAGGGAGTGCACGTGCTATCCTTCATTAGGCAGCAAGAGTGCTTGTACTGGCATAGATGCAAATTGAAATATTAAAGGAAATAAGGTTTAGATGTTCAAAGTTCTAATGCTGCAATATAACTGCTTAACTCTTGAGAAGTTTTTAAAACAAAAGTTCAGTTTATTTTCTTTTCCTATGCATGCAACTGTGCAAAAAGGAACCAATGCTCCCATAGAAGTAACTATTGAGATCTTTCAAACACAAACTTGGAGGGATGGACAAAGAGGTTTTCAATAAAGTGTAAAATGGTTTGTCTTTCTGAAGAGAAAGAAGATGAAGAAGAGGAAAAAGAACTGGACAAAGTGGAAGAAAAGGAACACAACAAAGAGGAAGAGAAGCCTCCAGAAAGAAGTATGTATGGCAAAAAGGAGAGAATAATATTGCTGAAAGGAAATAAAATATATAGGTTGTTTTTGTTTTGGTATTCAGACTGTTCTTGAAAGAAAAATACTTAAGTGGAATAGCCAGCAAAATATTGCCGTATATCCTAATTATCTAATAGGAATGTTCTGTTCAGGACTCTAGCCAGCCAGGCACAGGAGCCTTATAGTCTGTTCAGGCCAGGAGTGCAATGAGGAAAAAAAAGGACACATCTTTTTCTCCCTTCACCCCAGTTCAGATTCAGGATTGGCTGCCAATCCAAAAATGTAAGTTTCTTCCTTTCCATCCTCATGTAACATCCTTGTATAGTGCAGAGAGGGGAGTCTTTCATGTTATGAAACTCCTCCCCCCATAATATATATGTTGCTCAGGATTTGACTGGGTGACTTCCCATTTTTCATCTTTGTTTTCCTCTTCCCTTTCCTGAACTGCCACCTCAGTGTTTCATATGTGCTGAAAGCTCACAAATTGTCAGGTTGCTTAGTTTTCTGTTAACTTAGAAACTTATATCTGTGTTTCTAGGAAATTTTCTGAGTTTGTAGAAACCACTGCCTCATGTTTGGGTGGCCCTGTTTCGTTTCCAGCCTGATCCGCTAGAGTTTGTTATTATAGGGAATGATATGTGCTAATGTTTGCCTGCAAATTATGGTGACATTACAAATTAGAATGCAAAGTTACCTTTCCAGTTCCTAGTGCTTTCTCAGTGTTAGTACTATCAGAAGAGAAATTGTTAGTTTTCTTTTGAAAGTTTGCTTTACATTATTTGATAAAATGTATTTTAATTTGAAACATTTCTTTCCCACCTACTAACTGCAATTCTAAAGTTGGATTACAGTATATGTGGAGTACAATAAAATTAACAGGATGTGAAAGGCACTGGAGCTTTGTTATCTAGCCTCATGCTGCTATATCTCTTACTGCGACCAAAGGTCTGATTGGCCATTATCCTCCATACACACACAAGGGAGGGAATATGACTTCCAGGACTTCTACCAAGAGTCCTGGGCATTCTACAAGTCTTGATACTGTGAGAAACCATACCAAAGCTCAGACCATTTTGAGCAGGCCTTGCATGTAGGGAGATTTGTTCACTGGGGCTTCAGCCTACTTTCAAGCACATGCAGGACACCTAAAACCAGTGTACACCACTGCTGGACATAGTCCCAGTGTAGTCCTCATCTCCAGCTCTGGGCCCCTCAACATACAGCCCTTGGTCTGCTCTCTCAGACTCTGATAACTACCCCTCAGACTTGGAGTGCCACCATAGTTCCACAGGATCCAGCCTCAGAGACCTGGACCTGTTCTCTGACCAGGTCCTACAAATGACCTGTATCTTCAGGCTGAATCCACAGCAGGAGCCTTGGAAGAGTGTCTAGAGCTGAGGTTTGTCCTTTGAATAAAAATCGGCCACAAGCCATTTCCTTTTAACCATTCTTTATTACTTTAAGTACACATCACCCATACTGATTCTCTGAGCATGCACAGAGCAGCTTGTTGAAAATCTAATGATTACTTCCAAAAATTCTCCTTATGAACATACCTGAAGCCTAACCCTGCACAGGTGGCTCTCTGAAGGTGGGCCCACCTCCCTTCTTCACACTGCTCATCCACTTGGGTCTCTCAGTTCTGCTAGTGCCTTACCATGAGGTTAAGTTCAAAGAAAGGGTGCTGGTCTGCATCTGGGAGCTCGCCGTCACTCTATGTCCATCCCATTCTGCCAAGTAAGGTATCTGCCTTTAAACTAATTACCTCCACCTCCTCCATCTATTGTGTCCCAGTACCCTGAGCCAAATCCTGCTCCCCAATTTCTCTGAGACATTCTTCATCACTTGAAGCTGAATTAGTACCTGGGATGCAGCTTTTACCCTGGAGGGAATGCTTGCTCCAGGTTTCCATCCCTCTTGCTCCCAATAGAGAACAAAAGACCGGGTTTTTGAGGCCACAGGGCTGGTTGCTCTACCCTTCCTGGCAACCTTTATGGACTCTCTGTGGCAGGACTAGAAGTCCCCCTCTTCAGTGGCCCCAGCATCCAAAAGATTAAAGAGTGTGTATAAAGCAGAGTGTACCATTCCTGTTCATGGAGCTGGCCCAGGGAAGAACCAGGAGGGAACACTCAACACCTGCTGGCAAGGAAGGACAGCACTTGGATGCTGTAGGGAAATGCATCTACTCCTCAGCCACACTGGCCCTCAAGATGGCCAGTTACCAGGCAACCATAGCCAGATATTACCACCTCCTGTGAGAAAAGATAGGTGCCCTCTGTAATAGCCTCCCCCATGAGAAAAATAGACCTAACTGACAACATCAAGGATGAAGTATCCCAACTCACCTGCCAAGAAATCATATGGCTAGACAGCAGGTTGAATATGGAGCAAGAAACATGGTAAAAGTGATAGGCCTCAGATGTCATGCTTGGCTGCTTTCATCTGGACTGTCATACGAGACATGCACCTGCTTTGAGGATATGCCCTTCAACAGCATGGGGTCTCTTTTATGTGCATACTGTTGACCAGATGGACGGGGTTCAGAAGACTAGGGCAACTGCTTCCAGGAAGTGGATGAACCAGATATCTTCTGAGACAATACACTTGTTCTCATAAGTAGTACCATCACAGCTACCCCAGTCCATGGGTACCCTTTGTCCCCAGACACAGACACCTCCACCCCTGCCCTAGATAGCAGATGCTGGCACCCTGGAAACATCAGAAGGCAGCTGTGACTCACCTAGCTCCCAGCTGGTACCTCCCCACTCACCTTTGGCCACTGCCTTCAGCCCCCTTTCCATAGTTCGGTTGCAGTAACCATGGACTTGTGGTTCTTCTCCATCATGGAGTGCAGCTATAGAATAGAATTCGAGGCCTCTCCCACCTCTCAGTACCATCATATGCATATCCCTCCCAAGGCCCTCCTAGAGGTGGTTCACTCCTTATTCTAGAAAGGGGTCATTCATAAAAGAATCATGGACTTCAGAGCCTGACAGGTTCTTTAATCCAGATACTTCACAGTGCCAAAGGACAGTGGACTGCTGCCCATTCTGGACCTAAGAGACATCAACCACTTCATAAGATCTAAAAAATTATGCATGGTCATGCTCTAGAGTATCTTGCCTCTGCTACATGTAGAGAATGGTTTACCTTGATAAAACTTATGGACACCTACTTCCACATCTCCATTGAGGAGTCCTGCAGGTGCTTCCTCTACTTCTGGATTAGGGAGGACACATTCCAATTCACCATTCTCCCCTTCAGCCTCACCACAGCCACAGAGGTCTTCACAAAGTATTTGACCATAGTCTGCACTCATCTCTGCCTCCAAGGTGTCCAAATCTACCCATGCCTGGACTAGTGGCTGATTGTCACTTCATCCAAATAAGTCACAATATAGGCCACTGTAACTGCAAGTCAGCTGCTTTCCTCCTTATGACTGTACATAAACCTGTAGAAATCCTCTACCTCCACTGGATCCACTTCATTGGAGCCCACCTAGACTCTGTAATGGTGAAGGTATGCATACTGGATGCCAGAGCCTCCACCATGGTGGGAGAGGCACCCAGTCTATTCAGTCACTGCCACTGCCCAGTCTACTCAATCACCAGACCACTGCCACTGCCCAGTCTACTTGATCACGAGACCACTGGCACCAGGGGGTCCTTGGTCTCATGGCATCTGTGATTGATGTTGACCCACTGGCCCAACTCTACATGTTCAGCTATGGTTTATCAGCAGAGAGTCAAACAGACTCTTTAGACACATTTGGTGAAGCCTCTGATGGTGGACTGAGCACTACAACATCACCAAAGAGACCACCTGGGCAAAGATGTGGCTGCCCTCAAATTAACCATGACCCTAAAAAAACATTCCATATGGACATATCTGTTCCTGAAAGGGCATGGATCCAAGCAGCATGGGAAATGCCTTTCTCTAAACCTGTTTGGGAGCGCTGCACTGCCTCTAAATACTTGTAATACAGGAAGGTAAATACAACCTGATAAGTATAACTGAAACTTCGTGGGATGACTCCCATGCCTGCAGTTCAACAATTGAAGGATATAACCAGAAGAACAGAAAGGAGGTGGAATTACACTGTATGTTAAAGATACATATCTGTGCAGAAATGCAGGAGGATGCACTTAGTAGCCCAACCAAAAGCGTCTGGATTAATATAAATGGTGCAGGGAAGAAAAGAAGCACAGTGGTTGGTGTCTCTTACCAAGCACCCAGTCAAGGAGAAAACGAGGATGAAACTTGAAAAGCAAGTTGCCAGTGTTTCAAGTAGGCATGATGTCGTCATTGTGGGGGACTTCAATTTCCCTGATATCTCTTGTGAGATAATTCTGCCAAACATGCCTTCTCCAAGAGATTTTTAACATGTGTTGCTAGTAATTTCCTCCACCACAAAGTGGAGGAAGTACAAGATGGGACAGCTATTCTTGACTTGATACTAACAAGGAAGACCTAGTGGACAAAGTGGCAGCTTTGGGAACTTTGAGGGAAAGTGACCATGCCATACTTGAATTCCTGATTCTAAAAGAAGCAAAAGACAAATGTAGTCAAATATGAACCCTGAATTTTAAGAAAGTCAATTTTAATAAATTCAAAAACAATGATAAGTAAAGTCTCATGGCAAATGACTCTAATGAGAAAGGAAGTCCAAGATGGGTGGGAATTTTTTAAAAAAGGGAAATTCTAAAGGCACAATTACAAACAATTCCAACTAGGAGAAAGAGTAGAAGACAACAGAAGAAGCCCAATGTGGCTTCACAGAAAGCTTAAAGATGATCTGAAAACAAACAAAGTTTAGGAATTGGAAGGGAGGCCAAGCTACAAAGTAAGAATATAAGCAGGTAGCACAGAATTTCAGGGAATGCATTAGGAAGGCTAAAGCTACGAATGAGCTGAAACTAGCGAGGGATACTAAATGCAGCCTCCTTGCTAATAAAAAAACCCCTTCTTCAAATAGGTCCAAAGTAAAAGACTGAGGAAAGAAATGGGTTTAGCTACAGAATTGTTTGTTTGATCGGATTTTTATCCCATCATTTTAGCCATAAGACTTCCTGAGCAGGCTACAGTGTTAAAAATATACGCAATTAAAATACAATTAAAATAACAGTTAACAAAATCTAGCAAACCACAAGCAAAAGCATGCCATTGTAAAAACTTCACAGAGCTATAGAGTATATAAAACCAACATGAAAGGCACAACAACAGATAACAACCAGATATAAAATATTAAAACCATTAAATCATCCTAACAAATAAAATTTTGAGAAAATAAAAAGGTCTTCACCTGGCTCCAAAAAGAATATAAAGAGGGTGCCAGGTGAACCCCTCTGGGGAATTGGTGCCAAAGTCGAGTGCCAGTGCCTGAAAGGCCCTTTTCTTTGTAGCCACCTACCTTATTTCCTGAGGAGAGGATTCCTTCAGAAGGGCCTCCAATGATGATCTAAGGGGCTGGGTAGGCCCATCTGGGAAGATGGCAGTCTGTCTTTCAAACTGAGGATCAAGTGGAACCCCTCTCTCATTCTTGGGCATGGCCAGGGGGAGGGGTTCCCACTAAGTAAAATCTTAGCTGTGGGATTTTCCCAAGCAGCCACCACATACAGTATGCCCAGAGGCCATATCTGTGAATGCATAGATGATCACTTGAAGAACAGCAGTTATAGGTAAGCAACCTTACTTTACCCTGCAAAAACCTGAGAATCATTCTATAAAACAGGGGTTCTCAAACTTTTCTAAAGGGGACCAGTTGACAGGTGCCAATGGTGGGCACGGGCTGGTGAGGGTGTAGGACGCACACGAGGCGGGGCGTGCGGGGCGAGGTGCCGGCTTGCTCGTGAGGAGATCGTTTTCGCTGAGCAACGAGTCCAAAATGACCTCACGGGCAAGCCACCGCTGGGCGTGCACGCAGCAAGGCTTCCGCTTTGTCACAAGATCGTTTTCTCTGAGCTACTCCAAAATGACCTCCTCATGAGCAAGCCACACGCCCGGCAAGTGCAAAACCTGTTGGGCAGGTCGGTTAAATGGGCATGGTGGGCTGCATCCAATCCGTGGGCCTTAGTTTGAGGACCCATGCTATGAAAGATGTGCCTGAGCCACCTCTTCCATAAACAAGAATCACTTGCAGGTTTGGAATTACGTGATCATTTGCCTTCTGACTACAGACAGATGTTTGCAAAGGGGGAATTACCCATAGGCCTTTGTGGCCACTACATAGGGTGGACATCTCTTGGCTAGCAGGCACTGTTTGGAGAGAGAACAATGGCTGCTATGGACACCAATTCTTTAGAGCTGCTGGCTGGTCTCCAGAAGAAGGAGGAGTGGGAGAAGAGCAGGAGATGGCCTGGGAACATGGGCCATCCCGAGACATTGTGATGAGAGAACCAGAGACGCTTATCCCAAGGCAAGACTTAGCACAGATGCACAGTTGGTGGGAAGGGACTTGGAGCAGGGGACTTCCTCAGACACAGATGAGGTGGTCTCAGATCTTGACCACATGGTGTATTGTCAGCAAAGGAGGACAATACAGTTAGAGGACTGGCATGCAGTAAGGAAGCATGCTCGTTTTCAGAAGGCAGTTTCCGAAGGGATGGGGCTCAGGCATGCTCATAAGCAGAATTCCTGGAGGTGAATATTATTATTATTATTATTATTATTATTATTATTATTATTATTATTACATTTCTATGCCGCCCCTTGCCGAAGCCTCGGGGCAGCTTACAACACAATAAAATACATTGAAATACAATAGAACATAATAAATTACTACTAAATACAAAAATACAAAAAATACACTGAGATACAAACATAATAATATAAAATTAAAATTAACAGTATAAAATAAGTAAATAAAGAATATAGGAGGAGAAAAGAGAAGGAAAAAGAAGTTGCCCTGGCCAGATCATATATTTTAACAATTAAAATGATGTTTAAATAAAAAGGTCTTTACCTGGCGCCAAAAAACCAGTAATGACGGTGCCAGGCGGACCTCTTTGGGGAGTGAATTCCATAGGTTGGATTCAGCAAACCACTCTGTGCATTCTCAGAGATTCATTCTGGGTGTTTGGGCTTTTGTTCAGTAAATAACATTTTGCAAGAAAAAGGTCTATGGCTTTAAATGTGTGAAGGAGGGACCTCAGCTCTTGTCAGGCACTGCCCTGCACAATACCAACACTTGGCCCTTGACATGCCAGATCTGCAAAGATTCCGCTGGATACAGTTTTAAAAAATTATAAACATAAATATTTGCACACATTATACAGGGTAATAATGGTGGTGATAGTGGGTAGACAGCCACAGGGAACTCTTGCAAAGGTATTACTTGGACAACTTGAAGGTTTGTAGCTGCCAAAACCAGGGTTTATGAAAAGTGATGTGAAAGAGAACCTTTTACAATCTCTAGGGAGAAAAGACAAGAGACCCACAGCAAGTACAGAACAGCTTGTATGCTCTGTAAAAAGCAGGGAAAGTCTCTGCCAGCTTCCCCTAAGTGAATTTGGGAGAGCCTGTTGGAAGCAGTAGAAAAATGGGGAATGACTCTTTTCTTCTTCAGTTTTCCCTGGGATATCAGCAGGAGGACCAAGCAAGAAGTAGGTGGACATGGACCCACAGTATGATCATCTGTTGGGCACATCATAGGCCTGTGGACAATTAATCCACAACAGCATGGCTTGTGCCACAATATGGATTAACAGACTCAGCCAATTGTATTTGATCCTAAGTAGTAGATGCCTTGAATGCCGTTTTTCTTGACAGAATGGAGATGGAGTCGAAATGAAATAAATAAAATTGTGTATAGTTAGCTTTAAAGTTCATGTTTTCACTTCCAACTTGCCAAGTGTGCTGGGAATAACTGCTGCTGTTTCCATTATGTTTCTAGTTAACATCACCATCCTGCATTTATATCCTGTTTCTTTTTTGCAAGTAACTCGAGGCAGCTTATAAGGTTCTCCTCCTCTGCATTTTATTCTCATATCAATAACCCTGTGAGGTAGGTTAGGCTGAGAGGCGGTGACCAACCTAAAGTTGCCCAAATTTATAGTTGAGTGGGGACTAGAACTCGGATCTCCTGAGTCCTAGTCTAGCATTCTTAGCCACTACACCACACTGGCTTTAGTGCACATATAGCTTTAAAGCTTTTTCATAGGGCAGCCTTCCTTTTGCAGTCCTCATGTCCATCAGACTATTAGTGATTTCTCATGAACTAAACATATTGTGAGCAATAAAGTTTCTTACTAACTGCATTTTAGTGAGTGCCAGGTCCTTACCTTCTTTTTTCTAACCTCCTTAATTTGTTTCCAAAGTTGGAGTTACTTGTTTTATATTGTAATTCACCTTGAAAAGATCATGGTTATCATAGAAGAAATACATTAAATAAAAATAACTTTTAGGTGAGGCTTCAAGAAGAAAGCGTTCCAAATCAGAGGATATGGACAATATCCATTCTAAACGCCGTCGATATATGAGAGAAGAATATGAAGCAGAATTTGAAGTAAAAATTACAGCCAGAGGGGATGTTCATCAGAAGCTAGAAAAGGTAGAGCTGATATTTGCTATAGATGCCTTCCCTTTATATAGTAGCACTTTCTCAGTTTCTTTTACAATTACATCAAATTCTCAGATGTTTCAAAGATCAAAATATGCGGCAAAATTGTGTAGAATAAGAGGACTGTTGAATGGATAAATTACCATGTTCCCAGTGAAGACTGGGCTACTAAAGTATTTAAAAGTACAATTAGTTTTAATAACAGGCCAGTAAATTAATTCTTATTTGCCCTTTATATCAGGGATGGACACATGGTAGACAGTGAATCACTGGTTAGTTTCTGGTGAACCATCATGAACTTGTTGCAAAGAAGGGATGGCTTAAAGCTGCAATCCTAAATGCACATGAAAAGGAGCAAGTCCCATTGAATTCAGGGGGATTTACTTAGTCCCATAGGCTTAAATACTGTATTGCATGTGGAACTTGAGCTGTTAGTCATTTCTTGTTACAAGATTTTGACTGTGTACTTTTGATTTGTTCTTTTACTCATACATGGAGATTCTAGTTTTCAGAAAAAAATAGGTGGTAGAAGACTGAAATTGGGTCACTCCAGTTTTATCTTAGGTACTTCTTGTAAAGTATAGTGCTATCAGTGTCAGTGATTCAGGGGCTATTGTAGTTAAACCAATATGCTTCAAAGCTGACCTGGAATGCAGTAGTATAGGAATTGGTTGACTCACTGTTATCCTGGCACCATATTTCAAGTGGCTTCCCCATATTTAACTGCAGGGCAGTAAGGATGCATCTTCGTACACATGGAAACACTACTAATGCAGTGACTGAATCCCTTTCCTGTTCATTCTGTTTACCAATTTAAGAGTTGTACTAAACAGATGAAATGTTGTATATGCTACAGCAGAGCTTATGAATTCCTAAGGTATAACTCAGCTGTATTTTAAAAGGTTTAAAAGCAGAAGAGAGCCTAAGATCAAATAAATAAATAAATGATTTTTTTTTTTAAATTTAAGAGTTCATATGTCTGAAGTTAATTGTCAGCTGATGCTTATATGATAGCTAAATGATTGAATAACCATTTCTGGGATTGGTAGGTACACGCCATTGGAGGTCATTATGATGTCAGTATCCTAACAGCTGGTCTCCAGTTGTCCTTTACAAAGGAAACTGCATTCATTTATAGGGGGTGCGGTTCAGTTAAGATAAAAACAGAACATTTCAATTTTAGGATGAGAATGTTAGGGGTTAGCAGGTGCTACAGTTATATACATTATAATCTGTCTTGGTACTACAGTGGTTACCACTGCAGGGACACACATAGAAGAACTCTGTGTATATTTGTCTGGGTACACTAACCTCAGGGAGTATTCCCATGTTATATGTGTATAGACTTTCAGTTTTATGGTTTCAAAACAAAGATAAAGCAGAAGCATGACTGTGGTTTAGGATACTCATAGGTATCTTTTAGTGAGAAGATTTGGTGCTCTAAGCAGTCCTTTTAATGTATATGCCAGATGTTTTGTTAGATTGCTGAATTTACATTTATGAATCACAAGTCAGCAAGGGCCAATCTGCCTCCAAAACCATTAACATGGATTGAAAAAGGAATGCAATAAATACCCTTATTTGTTTGCAAGCATTAAGATCCAAAGAGTTTTTTCATAGGTTCCTTGAAATACAAAATAAATACAGCACAAATCTAAAACATGGACTATTTAAATTATTTAAATATTAAAATAAAGTTTTGTGGAAGGATAATTTAATTTCGGCAGAGAATTATGTATTAACTATGCTGCATGTTAAATAGCATTAGCAATGAATGCTCTTTTTTTTCCTCCAGGTTATCCATCAGTTTCTAGAAGAGAAATTCAGTGCTCTCCAGTGTGCAATTTTTGATAAATCTCTAGCTGATCTGAAAACCAGAGTAGATAAGATTGAATGTAGTAAAAGACACAAAACTGTCCTCACCGAATTACAAGTATGTATGCATATCTTTATGTCTTTAATTCTGTATGGAGGGGTTTTTTTCAGAGTCTCTTTTCAGCACTGAAAATTAAGGTTTCTGTTAACTGATTTTTTTTCCTTCGGGGTAACACAGTTGGCTGTGAGAAAAAATGGAAATAAAGAGTTGTATCTAGTGGCAATCCACTGATGAAAGATGTCCGTTCATGCAATGAGGAGGGAGGTGACTTTCAGGGACTTCTTCTATAACTTATTTTGCACCCCACCCCCATGTGTTCCAGAGAGTCATGCAACCCTCTGAATCAGGTTTAAGTCAGTGGTGGGGACTGAAGAGAAGAAAAAAATGTTGCTGAAAATTGTCCCATTTCCCATTTTGCTAATTGACATTTTCCACTCTGCTGTCAGTACAGTAGCCAGAGTTAAATATAACCCAAAATTGTTTGAGAAATCCAATTAAATCAGTGTTTCATGAGGAGCTATAGATTAACTGTGCTCTCAGAAGTGACCAGTCCGGCACCTGGAGAATGAACACAAAGGGCTTGAGGTGGAGTGGAGGGGTAAAACTTAATGAAAAGAGCAAATGAATCTTCTCTAACTGCTTATTTTTGCAGCAGAATTCTTCCATACTTAGTAAAATACAGTCCCCCACACAGACTTCTAACCAGCTGCAAAGTTTGTGCTGTGATGTGCCACAAAGCCCAAGGGTTTTTATTTTTGTTTGTGTGTGTGTAGAGGGGGGGTTGGGCCACCAGCTTCAACTAGATGTAAGCTGTCCAGAGAGCCATGAGGCAAATAAATGTGTGTGTGTGTGTGTGTGTGTATGTATACTGGTAAATCAAATGGGGGTTGTAATTAATATGCAAGAAAAACAATACTGTGATATTGTCTCCAAACCTTTGCCAACAATTAGTACTAAGATGGCTTTTCTGTGTTACCTGTGAACTAATATTTTATTTGAGGGTGCAAAGTGGTGGTTAGCAGCACAAAAATCAGGATTTGTAGCACAAATCAGCACAAAACTGGTATAAAACTTGAGCTTATGTTTGGAGGAGCTACTAATTTTTAGAGGTCATAACTTAAAAAAAGTTTTGGATAGTAAGAGCCTTGGCAATAATTTCTCAGGGACACAGGATTGCAGCAGTTCACTGTGGCCTGTTTGCAAGATACATCCCATATAAAATCACTCATATTTGTAAAGTTGGTCACTCTTCAATGTTACTGTATTTTTTGGAAGATGTTTTTTGTGTTATTTGGCTTTATGAGAGGTTTTAATTATATTTTGATTGTACATTGCACTGTAGCTTGAGGATACAGTGAATTATTCTGATTTATTAAAATAATTCTGAAGTATTAAAATAAATGTATTGGGGTAGCTTCAAAGAACCTGTTCTCAGAAAATAGTAAAACCCTTTGACAGTGAAGGCCTCTATCGTGACAATTGAGTACTGGTTGAGTAAAAGACACTTAGAAGACAATAGGCTACCTAAATATGGCAGAAACATGTAATTTTCCTAGTGGCTTTAATATTGCACATCCAATTGTGGGTAAGCTGCACTGCAAATTAAGTGCTTTCTCTGTTTGGCAAAATGTAAAAGGTCAAATACGATCAAGTACCATATGGGAAGAGACTATCTGCCAGGAAAAGCTGATGAAGACTTTAAATTACTGTTAAGTAAGCTGTCTACTTTATCAGGATTTCAGGAATAACCACTATTCCATCTTTTTAGGAAGATTCTTTACTGGTCCATAAAGAAGACTTGAGTTCCTTATCAGTGATAAATGATTTTCCTTAATTACTGGAAATAAGAAATTTTTATTTGTCTTTATTGTGGATGTTTGGTTTGTGTTTTTGTTGTCCTAAGATCTTGTTGCTTTGGCAGTTAGCCATATCAACACAATTAACTGAACTAATCAATTCAGACATAACAAGCATATCTGATTTACCTGCATTTTTTCCTTTATTTCAAGGCTAAAATTGCAAGATTGACAAAACGTTTTGGAGCAGCCAGAGAGGACTCAAAGAAAAGAACAGAAGTAAGCATAGAGCTTTTAATCACTTTGTTCCTTTAATGTTTAGAGCAAAATAATAACCTTGGTGATCATTGTGGACTATGTTCTAATGACATCTCATTAAACACACTCTTTGGCAGAATATTAGTGCAATCTTTGGGTGAGCAGGAGTTTGTGTGTTAACTTAGTAAAGCTATTGGAAACACTCTAATTCTGTATTTGTTTACACATTTTAAAACAGCCTTTGTTCTTGGAGTTACCAGGGAAATGTACAGATATAAATTAAAATTAAAAATAATACAATAAAACTACCTCATCATGACCAGGGAGCAAATACAACAGAACAGAGAAAATCATCCAGTTAAAGTGCTATGACAAAAAGGTGTTTTGCTGGTGCTAGAGCCAGTTGCACAGTCATGGGAAGGGTATTCCATAGTTGAGGCCCTACAACCAAGAAGACTCTGTTCCTTGTGGAGACATATAACATATCTGAAGTACTTGGAGAAAAACCGTGTTTAACTTAATTCACAGAAAGGTTGTTAGAGAAATGCACCTGTATTTGGTTCCCAAGCTGTTAGGAAATAATAAAAGAGAAATTCTTGGGGTTTTCCAATCGGAGTTAAATATAAATGACCCTCCAGGTTCCCTAGATAGCCACATCCTATTTCTCTTGACTACTGATTGCTTTGTGATTTCCAGGTGTTTGCACTGTTCCTCCTTCCACCCACTTGCTATTCTAAGAGGTTTAGATGCCTCTCCTGAGGCTTATATGGTGACAGGAAGAACTTTAAGCTAAAATACACTGGTATTTTTGGCTCCCAATAGCTTCTTGGAGAACATACTCTCTTTTTAATCAGTGAAGGCTTCAGTGCATTTCTTTACACCTGCAAGTTACTACTGAGCGTGGGTGTATTTTACATGCTGCACCAATATCAAAACCACAGTAATTATGAGGATGCAAATATGTTGATATTGGGTAAACAAGGAAGAAAAAATTATGTTGCATCAGGAATGTAGTTACAAAGAAACAGAATAGGTTTTGGAGCTTCTAAAAACAGAAGAGTAGGGCTAGTAGGCAGAGTACTCATGTATGAAATAAGACTTTTAGAACGTAAGTCTCACATTCACTTGTGTCTCCTTGTAGAATCTACAAAACACACCCCATTCTCCAGGAAAAGCAATGGGTGATACAAGTAATCTCAACACTGTAGCATATAGGTAAGATTTGAGATTATAGCTGTGACAGTTTGCATTGTGGAAACTTAGCCTTAGTTGTGCTTTGAATAACAAATGTTGAACTAAAAAGACAATATATTACAAATAAAATATAGATTAGAGACTGCTCTATATTTCATGTCTTAACTATTGTGTCCTGCTCTCTCCTATTGTTGAAGAATTTTATCAGTTCCTATGCAATCAGCAAAAGAAAATCCTCCTTGGAAATAAGAGTTATTAGAGCCATTAATAGTTTTCTTTTGTATTTTTTCAGAAATTTAGCTTTTATCATATATAATTATGGAAAACCTATTGCTACTGTGAATGGGACACCCTAGAATAAGTGGATAATAATAAATAATTTAGATATAAAATAGTTTTTCTCTGGGATACACCTCATTTGATTGGTATAGCTAACACGAATCTTTATTTGATAGAAATGCTGGCACAGTAAGACAAATGCTGGAGTCCAAGAGAAATGTAGGAGACACTTTTCAGTCTCCTGTGACTACAGGTAAATTCCTTTTTCTGTCTTAGCTACATATTCAATTTTTGTCTTGTATACTCTGTTGAAAGAGAAAATGCTAAAGTGTTAGTATAATTCTACCAGATTCAAACCATATATCAAAGTGTACTGCTTTCCTCTTGAAGTCCAATGTTGGCACAAATGTCACATTTTACACCAGGGTGGGCACTTGTGGGACTAGGAATTCCCATCAATCCCAAGTTAGCATAGCCACTGTTAGGGATCATGGGAACTATAGGACAAAACATCTGGAGAGTTTCAAGTTACCCCTATTTTATGAAAATATCTTTCCATAGAAGCACTTGTAAGAGAACCAGAACACTTCCTGCCCTGCAGTGAAATGCTTCACTACAGGTTACCTTTGCTACTACCACTTCTCTCTTCAGGTGAGGAGGACTCTTAGATCAGTAGGTTTTATGTGGAAGAACGGCACTTGTGGTAAACTCACCCTATTACTTGTTGTTTCCTTATCTCCTCTAATCAAAGTTTGTAGCAATCGGGCAACCAGAGAGGATGAGTCTTGGGATATTAGAATATACGGTCAAAAACAGGTTCCAGAGAAGTTTGATTAAAACTTAGGGATAAGGAAAGAGGAAAAAGTGGGTAGTTTTTAAAAACAAAAAACTACTCTCCACATAACTTTTACACTAGTGTTACAGAGAGGTAGGTTCTAAATCAGGGATGAGCAGAATCAGGCTCATAGGATCTATTTGTTTAGTACCAGAATTCCAAGGTACCCCAACAAGACTTTAGTGCAAAATGCATACACATAGAATTAAAAGAATTTGAAGTCCAGGAATTGGGTTTGAATATCAGAATTGAACAGCACTCACAGTCTTTGTTACTCTAGGCTTTCTTCATTAAGTTGCTGAAAGAGAAAAAAGAGAACCCTAAGAAACCCTAAGTACCTCTTTATAGATTGTGGTATCAAGAAAAGAAGTAGAACTATACACTATTTGGTGTCTCTAGTCCCCAAACCCAAAAGGCAGTCCAGAAGGATAGGTCCAGATGAATGAACAGGTTACACTCCTCATCTCACTCTCAGCGTAGTCATAATTCAGGACCCAGATAACCAGCTTCAACCAAGCTTAAATTAAAGGAATACATTACTAGGATCTCTAGAAGTAGAATTCTATACAAACTGGGAGGGATGTTATTTTAGGGATACTATTTTATTTTATTTTATTTTATTTTATTTTATTTTATTAAATAAGCAACAGTTCACAAGTCTTTATCTTTGCAAAATAGATAGATAGATAGATAGATAGATAGATAAACTTGCAATAATATTTTATATGCTCCCTGTCTGCAAGATAAGTTGCTGTACAATTTATTTATTCATTACTATGTCTCAGTTCCCTACCAGAAAATAGCATTCAGTGCATATCCAGAAGCCTTGGTATTTCTGCATAGTTGATTCATCCATATTTTAAATGCCAAGCATTAATAGCTTCTGTTCCCTTCACCACCTATTCAAAATAATGCCTTAACAAATGAGTGTTTTCAAGAGTCAGTTCCAAAGAGTATGGTATTTTTGTTTTAAACACTGTCTCTAATCTATATTCTATAAAGTCTTGACATAGAAAACCATAGTGTGATTTATAAGGCTGGCCCTGTCATTAGGCATATTGAGATACCTGCCTCAAGCAACAAATTTTAACTACCCTGAAAAAACTATTAATGGTTCTTTTATTAGTGTATTTTCATTGCAAGGGAGGGGAGAGGTGCCTGTAGAGTTTTCTACATTCCATGCTAAAACAGCTAGGATGATGTTGGGTACTGTGTATGTTGATTGGGGAGCTGGAGATTAGTGCCGTAGCTGCTGCCATTCGCTTGGAATAAAACGTATTGAACTAGCCCTATTGATTGAAGCCTGATAGAGCTTATTTTATGAATAAAAGATTAATAAAAAGTGGTGTTGGTCTCCATGACAAATAATACCAGATGTTATTTTGTTGCCACTGCATTTACTGGAAAAATTGCTCATTCAGTGCAGATTTTAAAACATTTATTTTTTACATTTTTAGTGTCTGCTACTACTCTTACAACTCCTCAGACACCAGTCAGTGGACATCCCAAACCACAAACACCAGTCACGTCTGCACCATTGACTTCGGGCACCTTGACATCTGTTCTTCCTACAGCTAATACAGCAACAGTAGTTGGCACTAGCCAAGTGGCTGGTGGGAACACACAGCCAATGTCTGTTTCACTGCAGTCCTTGCCAGTAATACTGCATGTACCCGTTGCGATGTCTTCCCAGCCTCAGCTTCTACAAGGACATACTGGTACCTTGGTTACTAACCAGCAATCAGGAAGTGTTGAATTTATACCTGTACAAAGCCAGTCTAATGTTGGTAACCTAACTAAAACCCCACTGTCTTTGTCATCAGCTAATTCAGTGAAACCAAACAGCAGCCCTTCTGTACCCAGCTCTAGCATTCAGAGGAACTCTCCAGCCAGTGTTGGCTGTTCAATAGGGACAACTCTAGCTGTGCAGGCTGTCTCAACAGCACATCCTGTTGCACAAGCCACAAGGACTACTTTAGCTACTGTAAATACTTCAGGGGTATATACTCCTACTACCAATAGGAATTCTATACAGATGAAGATCCCTTTGTCAGCCTTCAGCAATACAGCTCCTTCCGAAGCAAACTCCACAGTTGTACCTAGAGTTGGTAAGTTATATATGTCACTGTACATAAATTGAATATATAAAGAATTACTCTCTACTACCAGAGGAACATGTTGACGGGAACAAGTTGTTTTTAACAGAACCGGAACGTGAGCATTTCATGCTACAGTTATCTTTATTATAAGTAGTTAACACTTACCAACTGATATTACTTGGAATATTCTAGCTCTAAAATACTGTATTTGAACTAGAAAACCTCCAGTTTGAAGCTCTGAAGAGGTTAGCACACATTTATCTTAAATGGGCTGGAAACCATTGTCTAATTAGACAATAGAATGATGCTGTTCCTTGCTTCTGTTAGAGAGTCAGACATCAAGATTGCTTCCACCTCCATTGCCACCAACAGATATTTCAGCAAACAAGAAAGCATCTGAGATTCCATCACAGGTAGGTTGGCTTTTAATTTTCTTTGTATAGATCCAAAGTCTTGTTCCAAAATTGTAGAAAGACAAATATGATTTAGTATGTCATTTTTCCTTGGTTTAGCCAGTCAGTGTGTCTGTTCTTATTATACTTGTAGTGAGTTCATAAAGTAACTTTTTAAAAATGCTAAACAGAAAATAAATAAGCAATCATTTCACACAGCTTTGGGGGTATTGCTAAAACAGCATCTGCCAAGTAGTAGCACAAAATCAGTTCTTTTCTTCATCACTTCTTGGGAGCAAGCAGAGGATTATCCTAGAAATTCAAAGGGGTGGATCTGGCCCCTGTTAAACTCATTTGTAAATGTGCACAGATCTTTATCTAAAGCTTGGGAAATACTAACTCCTCCCCTTCTAAGAAATTTTCCTATGTTATTCACATTTTATTCATCATAAGTTAGCCCTATGATTTTCAGTTACCATAGTGTTTTGAGAGTTAGTTATCTTAGAGTGTTGGGTGGTGGTCATGCATTGAAAAGCTATGGCCCGTTATGACTTCCATGTTTTACCATTTGTTTTCAAGTATCTTACAACAATAAGAATTTGGAAACAGTGTCTTGTCATCACACTTAAAGTGTCCAGAACAAAGACCAGTCATGCTTATGTACAACTATATACTTACTACAGAAAATGTGAATCAGCCTTTTATTAAGAAAAGCTTTCAGCTTTCACTGACAGCCAGTGTGATATAGTAGCGCAGGACTGGGACTCAGGCCGAGCTGGGTTCTAGTCACGCTTGGCCATGGAAGCCAACTGGGTGACTTCAGCCAATCACACACTCAGCCCAAACTACCTCACAAAGTTATGGGGATAATCTTGAGAGCAGCAGGAGGAGAATAATATAAGCCACTTTGAGTTCATTCCAAGAAAAAAGTAGACTATAAATCTAATAAATTCTGTTGCTAGCCTTATATCTAGAAACAATGCACCAGGAGAGTTTAATCTGCTGTTGATTAGATTCTTCCATTTCCCACATCTTGAGATGATGTTTTTAAGAAAATCACTGGCAGAGTGAGTTTGAAACATCCATGTGATGGGATCAAAGTTATATAGATGGTTTGAGAAACATAAGATTCACAGACATATTGGTACAATTTTGGTGAGAAATGTAAAAGCCTCTCAAAACAGCTTCATGAAAATTATGCAGGTTTTTTTAAGTACCATTGACTTCAGGAAACATTTAGTCATAATAACTCTCTAATTAAGATCAGTGCAATGTAAAGGTCCTTAATTTAATTGGATTGTGTTATTTCAAGTGTTGCAATTCAGCAGTGTTCCATTCAGAGTTAGAAATACCAAAGACTTCAGATCAAGAAAAGGAAATATAACTAAAGCTATCTAGGTCGATTTATTTCAAATTATCATGCAGTGTTTTGGAATATTCATCCTAAATAGTGGAAAGAGGCAATATGGTGCTTAATTTATAAAGAAGCACAACAGACTGTTGAAATTAAAATTGGACTGTCTTCATTATATTAATTGTTAAGTCATCAGTGGAAATTTTGTCAGAGAGATAAGTTAATTTAGCAGGAGAGATCCTGCTAAATTGTATCGAATGTTGTCAAGCCAGATTTGTTGAAAACAAAATTTTCTGCTATCATCATCTTCATCTTCATTTCTGTAGTTGAAGCTTTCTAAACTAAAACACAAACAAGCATTGCATATTGAAAGGAGAAATCTTGTTTCATCTTTCTAGGTGCAGAGAATGCTTTTAAGTAGATAGAATAGCCCTTCTTAAAACATAAAGGTTTAGTTTTACAATTATCAATATAAACTATATTTTACATGTTGCATTTAAAATACATTTATGGTAAAAATATTAATGGCAAATTTATAGGGAAAATAAGGAATTGGGTTGTCACTATATTAGTAATAGCATTATAAGCCTGCACTTAGATTATGTACAGATAAATTGTGTCTTTAGATATCAATGAATCACAAATCAATTGAAATTATTGAGTATTAAAATAGGAGAAATAATGAAACAGAAAAGTACAGTAAGATTCAAATTTTAATGTCATTAAAGTAGTGGAAATATAGTTTACATCTCCAGTGTCGTTTATGTACATGACTGTCCTTCCCCAAGCTCATAGGTATTGTAATCTGCATAATATTAAACAATATCCCAGAATTTCTGTTACCCGACATTAAGGTTTCCTTTTTACGTATCAAAACGTGCCTGGAACATAAAATACTCTGCATTCTGTTGCTTTTGCTATTGGGATTATTTTGGCACACCACATAATGTAATATATTGGGGCAGAGAATGTCCTGTGCACTATGACTTAACCATATATGATTTTGAGCACCAGGAAGAGGAACTAGTCCCTGTCTCGCCCCAGAACTAAAAAAATAGAAACCTAAAATCTATGGTATGTAATCTGATGAGCGGGGGCAGAATTCAGTCTCCATTGAAGAGATTCAGCGACTTCTATTTGTGACAGAAAGCACAAACAGCACAGAGAATTCTCCTGGGATGAACAGAGAGACTCTATGCTTTACCAATTTTGTGCCTGCACTGGATCAAAAAACAGTAAGTGGCGTATTCAGCTGTATCCATGAAAGTGCATGTTGTTCTTTGTGGTCCCTGTGCATCACACAAATGGGCTCTGTGTCTGCGTGGAGCCCATTGCTGGGGAGTGTGGCAGATGTTTTCTGTACCTGTGAAGATTCGGCAGGCTGTTCCAAAAAGAAAAATAGAAACATGTCTGGGCACAACTTGATAGAAGGGATGGACAACATGGAGATTTATTGGCATCTCGTTCACCTGTTACCATGCAAGAAGAATAACAGCGATGAAGGAACATTGAAAGGCAGGAATGGGAGAACAGGGCACACAACTCAACAGCCAGTGTAGCAAAGTTCAGCAAGAGACACGCATGCATACAGATCCAGGACCAATGAGGGGTGCCAGAAATGACACTTCCAGAATCTTTTGAGCTGCTTCTCACAGAACCCATTCCTTGCCTCTTAATCTGTGACACAAGCAAAATGTCATAGTGTGAAATCAAAGAATAGAATGAGAACAACCCTACCAAAATACTTTATCGACACCACCTTGGTATTGCTGGGTTGAAGATGTACATTGAACTGTTACTTTGGGTAGTGGTATCCTCTGCATCATACAACCTTCACTTTTTGAATACACCTTCAGAAGAACTACAAGCCTTAAAAAATCAGAATATTACATGGTTTATGAAGGGAACAAAAGAAACTTGTAGCACTGTTGACAAGCTTGCTGCCTTTTCGGATGTTTATGGAACAGAGCACCAAATAGTATATAACGGGCATAACTGACTGTTGATAAGCAACTGGTGGAGATCGGCAGCACTGTCCATTCAGATAATATGTATCAAGCAAGTTATACAGAGGTGGTAATAATGTGATCCTGGACAGCAAATCCTTCCAAGGCAGACACCCTGGAACACCACGGGAAATCCAGCTTGAGTTCAACAAGGTGGCAAAAGCTGTGAGATCTTATTTCCACATAGCAGAAAATGTGGTGGGATGCAAGTTCTTGAGAAGTATTGAACTGGCTGAAACATTAATAAGGAAAGGCTTAACAATACATCTGCCCTGAGATAAAGCTGCACCCATGCGCATTTTTGGTAACTATACTTGGATATAATATATTTCCAAAAAAGGGGAAAGCTGTCATTACCTAGTCTATGCATCATTATGTGGTTGTCCATGGAGAATCCAAGTCCAAAAAGCTTAATATAATGTAGGAGCACTACATTGCTTAAGTTATTTGCTGTTTGTGCCCAGCAGGCTGGCAGAAATAATGGCCTTTCATAGGAGACATTTTTCCTCACCAAAGACAGTTTTATGAATAGGGCAAAAAAAAAAAAAAAAAAGGACAAACGGTGCTAGTTTTCAGAAATTACATGTTTGTTCCCATTTCATGACAGTTAGCATTGATGTTCTGCCATCTTTGTTTCAGAAACATTTTTTATTGTTTGTAATTGAAAATAACTATCATTGATGTTTTTAAGATTCAGAGTAGTCAATTCAAAAATGTGTTGAAGTGTATTCTGAATAACAGTTCATCTAATGTAATTGTGTTTTCTGGATTTGTATGTTTTGGTATTATTTTTTTAAAATAAATTTTATTTTCGCTACAATCTAACATTAAAAATATCAATTATTTAAGACATTGGATATACTGGGTTGACATCTTACTCTTTTTAACAGTCAATAACCATATTCAAATCTACGCATAGTCCCGTTTCTCTAACCAATAATAGAAAGAGTTCCAAGTTTGGTAGAAATATGCATCCTCTTTCTCCTTCAGAGACAAAGTCAATCTGTCCATTTCCGCGCAGTCCAAATCTTTTTTAAGATCCACTCTTCAGTAAGTGGCTCTTCATTCCTCCAATGTTGAGCAAATACAATCCTTGCCACAGTAATTATATGTAATATATATATAGCTTGTTTATCAAAGTCATCAAGAATAATGCCTAATTTTAAAAAAACTTCAGATTTTAGTATTATTAATGACACACCTTTAGGGTCATTAGCAAGCATGGTGGTGTTGCAGGACATTTTATACTCCCAAATATATTGGATTTTGGGTTGGGGTCCAAAAAGACCCCAAATATGATATTTGATAGATTTTTCTAGATACAGTAAGGAAAGTCAAGATAAAGTTGCGCCTATCTTGATTAATGAAAATATTGACTACTAAGATGACAATACTCCCAAAGATTATTTTCCCTGTTAAATGAGTAAACCTAGTATTTTAAATATCAACATGGTATGAAGTATTCAGCAGAGACTGCTAAAAAAAGTGTAATTGTTTTACATGCCAGGTCATGGTGATCCTGTGACTGAAAGCCCTGTGGAACATCCTGTCCATGACATCCCTGTTTAGCCATGCTAAATTCAAGTCTGTGGCCTCCTTTATGGAGTCAATTCTTTGATCATTCTTTTCTTCTTTGCCTTCAATATTTCTTTGCATGATTGTCTTCTCTAATGAATCTTGCCTTTACATGATGTGTTCACAGTATGACAAACTAAGTTTTGTCCATTTTGCTTCTAGGGAAATCTTGACTTGATTTGATCTAGGACCTGCTTGTTCACACTTTTTCAATCCAGGATATTCGCAAAGCTCTCCTCCAGCACCACATTTCAAATGCATCAATTTTAATCAATTTTCTTCCTATCAGTTTTCTTCACTGTTTCGCTTGCGCTCCCATATATAGTGATTGGAAATGCAAAAGTGTGGATGGTCATGGCCACATTCTTATGCATGATTATCTTTTCCATTTCTTTAATTCCTGCTCTTCCAGGTCTGTCCTGTTCTAATTTTGGCTGCAGTCTCTTTTAAAATTGATGACTGAGCCAAAATACAGTGGTACCTTGGCTCACAAACTTAATCCATTCCAGGACTCTGGTCATGACCCAAATTGGTCTTGAGCCAAGTCAAATTTCCCCATAAGGTTCAATGCAAATAAGGTTAATTGGTTCTGTAACTTTTTTTTTTTTAACCACAAAAATTTGACACAACATGACAAAGATCAACAAAGATCATGGCCATCTCCCCCCCACCACCACCACCACCCTGAGCATGAGCACAGCTATCCCCCCACACACACAACCACGATTGCGCCGTCATCCATGCACAAGCACGACCATGAAGAGTGTGAGTGTGTTTGTCTGACTGAAATGTGAGTGTTTGTCTGACTGAAAATGTCCCATTCCTGACACTGTAGTTCACTCATTCCATGTACCGTCACTTAACCATTAATTTCCTGCTTTAAAGTGTCCAGTTTGCCTTTATCCATATTCTCATGTTCCATGTTCCAGTTGTATGTAGTGTGCAGCATTAAGAGTTTCCTTTCACCTCTGCGGATCTCAGATTTGATCTAGTCGTGTCAGCAGCAGCAGCAGCAGCAGCAGCAGCAGTATTTGTACTTGTCCTTTGTTCTTCCCAATAGCTCATTGAGTTCTTTCCAACCTGGGGGTTTCATTTTCTGGCACTGTTTCTTGTTTCAGTTTAGTTCATATCATCATCAGTTTTTCAAGGTAAGAAGATCCAGATATAGTTTAACAGTGCCTTCTTCTGATGCACTAATCAGAGTTAGCTTCAACGTCACTGCTGCTGTCTGTGAAAGATCCTTTGCCAGTTTTACCTTCAGCTTCAGCTGCTGCTCTTCAGAAGTTTTCGTGCCTCCATCATCTTTAGAAGGATCCAATCTTTTCTGCTGATGTGACCATCACTCCTGATGAGTGCGGATAGTGTCTTCAGTTTGACCATTCTGCCCTTGGGTGACCCTGCTAGGAGACCAGCCTAGTGAGAGAGGCTGGCCTCCTGGGGGCATTGCTCTCAGATTTTCAAACCCCCTTACTATTTTAAGGTGTTCATCCAAGAGGGCGTAGTTTAAATTACAAGTTTTCTAATCCATCAGTTTGCTTGGCTAATTGAGCAATTAGCCAGCTCAGTGCAAGAAAATGAGTATAGGGAAGTAATAATTGCACACTAGATATACAGAATTTTCTTGTATGCAACTGTACTGTACTTGTTAGTCTTCAGTATACTATAACTTATAAGGTAAGGGTGCAGTCTTGTGGGTGTGCCCATAACCCTCCAAATTAAGAGGATTATGTGCATCCTATGCAGAATGTGAGAACTACATAAAGAGATAAAGGGTCTTCCTCCTGGTCTATGGAACAGGTAGTTGGCCAATTTCCAGCAATCTGGTCACACTTTGGTTGTGCAGGGGCGGGGGGTGAGGTGAGGGGCTGGCAAGATATGTCATCTCTTCTGACACACACATCCAAAACACCCCATGAACCCTTACAAGGGAAGGGAAAGGATCCCCTCTGAGCAAGGAAGGGTCCACTGCAATATGAAACACACACACACACAAATAAAAATGCATTGTGTGTTGCCTTTAGCAAAACATGGAAGAACAAAGTAATTCAAGAAAAGAAGTGGCATATGAACTCAATTCTCACTACAAAAAGTTGCAGTTGTGTCCTCTGCCACTGCTTGTATGGAATCCTGAAGATAACCATTTTAGCTTGAAGAATGGAGATGAAGAAAATAGCACCCAAAATCTACCTAAGCAGACAGGGTCATGGTGGTTGTGACCCAGGCCATCTGGTGCCTAATCAATGACATGTCCCCTGTTCCCATCCCAGCCCTTTATGCTTCCCAGTCATATATTCCAGAACTTAAAGGATTATTATGAGAATATGACAGTACGGATTGTCCATAGAACAAGTCCCAGGTTCAATCTATGTTTTTGTTCTTGGTTCTCTCCCAAGAGAAGTTGCTCTTTCATTGACCATAGTAATTATTTAGATTAGTACAACATTGAACAATCTAGAACCATTGAAAACAGGAGAAGATTTCTACTGTATGTGGTGCCTTGTTATGGAATTAAAAGATTTGGAAGTTGACACATGTGGAAATACAAAAAACCTTTAAATTCAGCTTTGCTATGAGTCCTAAGAATATGCCTCTGAACATAATGCCAGAGACTTTCTCAATGAGCATGTCAAAGTTATTCAAATATATGACAACTCCAGCAAGAATTACAATTGTTTCTGAATGGAAAACAGCAGAATATCCAACAATTGAAGACTGGAAAAATAAGTTGACTGAGTATGCAGTAATGGCAAAACTAATTATGTAAACAGAAGACCAACTGAAGAATTTAATGATAAATGGAAATTTTATTGTACACAGTTTAATATAGAACAAAAGGAAGCGTGTTAAAATACTGCTAATAATTTATAATTTATTTAAAGTGATTGGATTTTTTATTTTGGTTTAGAGAACTATAATTTTTTTTCTGTGAGCTTCAACAATACTAATTGACAAAAATAAATTTTTAGCTTTTTGGGAATCTGCAGGTTATGAATATATATGTTACATTTGTGTAAGATCCCTTGGCATTCTTATTTTTCTTTTACATTTTTCTTCCTTTCTGTACTTATATCTTTTAAGAAAACAATAAAAAAGAAAACAGGAGAAGAGAACCTAATGCAGCCTAAGGAACAGATTCAGTGTTTGAGATGCTGTTAGCAGGGCCCAAAGCAAAAAAAAAAAAGTTAGCATATTGCAGCTTAAAGCTCTTACTGTAAGTAACTAAACCTTAAGAAAATCATTTTAACCTTTTAGAATGAAGAAAAACTGCCCAGAAGTAAGGACACCCCCCAATGAAATGGTGGTGGGGGAAAGGAGGTTACGTTATTGAAAGTAGAATGCCTATCTGGAGAACTCAGGAAGACTAAATAATGAATAGGAGCTATTCTTAATTGTGAGACTAAATCAGCTGATTCTGCAGTTATTGAACATGTACTACATGACCAATACTTTTAGACTGCTACTGAAATGTTCAATAAATAATCATATTTGGAGAAAACAAATAGCTTTCTCCAAATATGAACTCATTTCATTACTATAAGCATGATTTCAGAATGATTAGTGCTTTCCTCTGTTGTTTTTTGTTCCCACCTACCCAATGACCAGAGTCTCAGGCACCAACCAGGCACTAAACAAACTTGTTCGTGCTCGAACCTTTCTCTGTACACCCTTAAAATATGTTTCAGCCATTTGGGGACTCACTGGAGCAGATTTGGGAGGGATCAAGGCAGGAGTGGAGGAACTGGCTCAGTGCTTATAGCAATATCTGACTTAACCTTAAGTTCATTAAAACTAATGTGATTGAAGGATGACTGACCTAGTTTGTATCCCGACCGCAGCATATCATAGTTAGCACTCTGTTAGGAAGGAGACAGAAAAATGTGATGAATAAAAGAAAAAAAATATAAGGGTGTGTTTTTTGGTCTTCCAGAGTGGAAAGGTTGCAGGCAGTGCTGCCGGAGGAGTAATTGATCTCACATTAGATGATGAAGATGATGGCACTTCTCAAGGTGAGAATATATGCTTGAGCCACAATGGCTAGTTGGAGCTGCTGAACAGATTATATTGGAAAGAGTCAACTGCCAAAGTTGATAAAAATTTGCTAAGTAAAATAATTCCACCAGAAAATACTATTAAAGTAAGTTAATTTTTAACTGTCAAATATCTACCGAGGATAACAATTCATCTGACGAAGGGGAATCTAGTTTATAAAACTATATATATGTCATAATATTTTCTGAGCATTGAAGGTACTACATGACCCTTTGTTGTATTTGTGGTATGAGTAGCCCTCTAAAATACTTAGGTAAGAGAAATCTATAAATAGAACTAGTAGTTTACACAGATCCTGATTTTTAGACTTGTGTTTTGGGAGCTGAGCAAAATGGGATAAAGACATAGTACTGTCAAAAACATAGATATTATTTAGAAATGGGCGAGAACAATAATCAGTCAAACACTTCATGTTTTTCTCTTTCTGGTGTAATGTTTTAAAGCAGGAATTGGTGTATCTGCTTGTGGACAGAAGTGTTTTCTTGCAGCCCAGTATGTGTTTCTGCTTCATTCTTGCTTAGGCGTTACATTGGAAGTGGAAAATGATTACTTAAGTCACTTAGTCACTGACCAGTTACAGCTTGCTCTCTGGATCAAAAACCAGTTGGCATATTCAAGAGTTCTGCTGTGTCTGATAACCTCTTTGTCCTTCCCCCTGCTATTCTTTCCTCTTCTGGTTGATAATGATGGTATCCTATGTTGGCAATCATAGTTTTCGCATATGTCCCTGGAGTTCCCCATCAATCATAACCTTTGTTAAAATTGGCTTTGTTAAAAAAAATTTGGTGGTATTCAATGAAAGATAAAGGTAGATACTAATAATATACTAAACCCACTATACAGCATAATGACAATCCTATAATTATTTAGAAGATCAAAAGTTCAAAAAGCAAACAAACAGATGCGAGAAACTTGTACCTGTACCCAAGAAGATAGGAATTGTTTAATACTTACAGTCTTTAAACAATGTACATTTCGGTCCCACTGAAATCAGATAGCTTAAGTATGTGTAATTAGATGTGGAACTGTAGCCAAAAATATCTTGCATTATCAAATATCTTGTATTATTATTCTAGTTTGGGTATATTCTTGGACTGTGCTCATAACTCTTAGTCCATAATAGATCGTCTCTACAATGAAACTGGTAAACTGGTGAGGACATGGTTGTTTTTTCATTTAAGCATAGACACCCCCCCCCCCCAAAAAAAAAAGACAAGAGCTTGCATCACAGTAGACTGTTATTTCATTGAGTCATTTGGAGCGGAAAGGCAGAAGAGTGTGATGAAATTACTTGTTTACCTGATTCTCATTTCTCTCATTCAGAACTTCTTACTGATTTTTGGTTGTTGTTGTAAGCAGATGGCAAGAAACAGAACCAGTCTAACATGTCTGGAATGGGCCTGTCAACTCAGTCTGTAGCTCGTCCCCTGCAGCCAGTACAGACAAACCCGCTCCAACAAGCAGGTGTGCCGACAAGTGGCCTTTCACAGACCACCATACACGTTCTCCCCACAGGTAATATCAGTTTGAGCTGGTAAAACATTTTTGAATTTTGCTTTTGAGCACCATTGCTGTAGAAAAGGGGTGATTCAAGAGAACATTCCAATCTCGGGCCAGATAGACCTAGAAATCTAGGATTTTTCATGGTATAATACAGGACTATAACTTGAACTTGGATGTTGTCCAGAAAAAATAATAGCAAAATTATTTGGTGAGCAACTCTAGAAATGTATGCTTATATCTGAAGAGTTTCTATACATTCCTTATAAAAGTGACAGGTTAGTTGCAAGTCAAGTTTCCAAAGCCTCTCTCTGTGTGTGTGTGTGTGTGTGTGTGTGTGTGTGTTCACTCAGAATTATAGCTAGAATCTATATTCTACTCCTGATGGAAGTTGATAGGACACTAGGTTTTCTTTACTGAGAATATTTCTATATCAAATTGACCTATATGGTATAAATTCAATACTGAATTTCCTGTAGATACAGAATAATTTGAATGCCACGTGTTATGTGTGTTTGTTTTTCTCAGTAAATTCTAAAAGATAAATTATATAAAACACTTGAATTATATATCAGTTTTCTTCACTGTATGCTCTCTGGACTGAGAGCAACAATTATCCTGGTTATTCTAACTTTATGTTTCTTCTAGCCCAGACAACTGTGAATGTAACCCATCGTCCGATGACTCAGGCTTCAGCCAGACTCCCAGTACCAAGAGCACCCGCTAACCATCAAGTGGTTTATACTACTCTTCCTGCACCATCAGGACAGAATCCTGTGCGGACCACTGTCATGCAGAGCCCTAATTTAAGACAGGTCACCCCACAGAGTTCAGGTAAGCAGCCTTTCTCATTAACAGTTTTGTACTTTGTGGGCTGAATCTAGTAGGGGTTTTATTTTATATACTCTTGAATATTGGAGAACCTTGAGACAAATACCAGGACTTTGTTAAGATAATAGGTATTTTAAAACCATTGTTAATAGTGATCTAAAACTTAGTGGGGAGAGCTGTTGTTTTGCAAGATATATATATTTCTGGATGTTCTGTGGTGACACAAATACCAGATCATGGGTGAAATTTAACATGCATGTGACTGTAGAAAAAATGATCTGCCTAGAATGTGGTCACAGTGCAGCCATAACTCTATATGTTCCTCTGTATGTTTGTAGTTAAATAATTTCATTATGTCTTTGCACTGTTGAACATTCTTTCTGGTTTCATTCTTGTCTGACTCCTTAAAGGGTATTTCAACTGGAGTTCAGTGTATTGGTCTGTTTGACTTGGATGTGTTGCTTAAGCTCTCTGCTAAGGGTTTCTGGTCCTCTGTTCTTGTTTTTACAAGGTACACATCTTATTTAAATATTAATTCCTTAAGCAGTTGACACATCAGAGACTACACCTTATTGACCTAGTGTCTTTATTTTCTTTGTTTAAATGGCTGTTCTATGTCCCCATCAACTTGGGACACCACAAATCACCTGCAGAAGTATACCTGCCTGTTGGAAGTAATGGGTGACCTTGCACATCCTCAGATATGGCTGATAGTTTACGGCAGTGATTCACAAGCACAGAAGCTAAGATTTTCTATCAGCACCTGGAGTGTTAGCTGTATCTGTTGATGTGTTGGGTCACATACTTCCTCCATGTGATAGTGTCCTTGGTGATACTTTTGTGTAGAGCAATTAGAAATGTATGAGCAAACTCAAGAACTTCAGTAACAAATATGAATTAGTTTTGTATCATTTTATTGAAACTTTTTGTAATACAAAACCACACAATTCATTATGAACATACAATAACCAAATACAAGTTAGTTCAGTGATCTGAATGCTTTCATCTCATCTGTGAAATCTGTAAAGTAGATTCACAAGACCATTGGCAACACTGTTCACTAGCCACATAGCCACATCATGCACCAGTAGATCCACTGCAGTTTGATTATGTTTTGCATATAACTTTCATTATTACGGGATTTTGGGAATCTATACCTTGTAGAATAAAACGTGTAACACAGTGGCTAGTAATGTCTAAAACTGAACACATGGGAGTCGTTAATTGTTCTTTGAATGCTAAATCCCCAGTTGTATTCATGTACCAGGAGGAATAGTGCGTGAATGATAATGAGAGAATTTACAAGGATGCATGTTGCCATCCATGTTGAATTAGAGATAGAAATACAACCCAGCTGACCATGTGCAGTATATATCCCTTGTGCATCTAAATATTACTCATATTGTAATACAGATGGAAACCTGATACATAAATAGCTATGTACCTATGCATATGTATATTTTCCTGGAATGGGGCATAAAGAGCAAATGCTACTGTGTATGTGCATGTGTATGGTGCACCATCACACTGAAGCCAGTGGTACATAGCATTATGGCCACTGATTCCTGGCACTTGAAATAGAGCCATATCTCCACTCCAGACATTATGATGATGTGCATCCTGTGTGCCTGTGGTATATATTCTTAACCTGTTGTGTTTGGAATGACCCTACTAAGCACTAAAGATCACAAATGTGAAAAGAACAAAGTGGTGACCCTGTTATGATACTAATATGTGTGTCGGAAATCCTGTGCCATCCTTGTTCTAAAGTTCTGTTTAGTGTCCACAGTCTGGTCATCTAGAGTGCTTTATTCCCTCATGACAAAAGTGTTCATATTCAGGCAACATGAGAGTTGGCATCAAAGGATTATCTCTCCTTGGAGAGAAAGTGAGTCCAAGAAAACTTCACATGCTGTTCATAGTGGGGAGCTGGTTAGTTTCTGTTCAAAATTCAGTCTTTTCATGGAGAGGAAAGTCAAGTAGATCTGTCTTGTTCTTTTGTCTTTTTAAAAGTGTGCTATCATATTTTGTTAGTAAAGCAGTGACAACCCTTTTCAGGATTAGGCTAGTATGCTCCTTACAACAACATAATTTGCAACAACTACTGCTTAGAAAACAAAGTGCAAACATAAAGATAGATGTTTTTCCCTTCATACAGGTGTGACAGTGCGAATGCCTCAAACAACAGCATATGTTGTGAACAATGGACTAACTTTGGGATCTGGAGGGCCTCAGCTCACAGTGCATCATCGGCCACCTCAAGTGCATTCAGTAAGTACCTTTGTCTGGTTGTTGGGGTTGAGCATTAAGAGAAGGATATATCTGACCACACTTTGACATATATCCTATCATATACCAGTGATATCATTTAGCAATTTAGGACTGACCAGACTGGACACTCTCCACTAATGTGCATTTTATATATATAGTATTCAAGGTGGACAAGTTATATAACACAGCATTATCAAAAAGACCATTAAAAGCAATCAAAGCAGCACAGAGTTGCTTCCCTAATTTGAAACATAGAAGTACATTACTGTCTCACTGGGCCTGCTAGGTTTCAACAATTTAATATTTGTTTAAATCTGGGAATTGTTCTTAGGCTTAGGAATGCACAAATTGTTCAGCTGTTAGAGTACACATTTTGAAAAGATGGTGATAAGACAGCCTTTTCTGCGAGCTTCATTGTGCTGCCTCTTTGTTTCTCAGGAGCCATTGCGGCCTGTGCACCCAGCCCCACTGCCAGAGGCCCCACAGCCATCACGTTTGCCTCCTGAAGCTGCCAACACCTCTTTGCCTCAGAAGCCACACCTGAAGTTAGCACGTGTACAAAGTCAAAATGGTATAGTGCTATCCTGGAGCGTTTTGGAAGTGGACCGAAGCTGTGCCAGCGTTGATAGCTATCATCTGTATGCATACCACGAGGACCCCAGTGCCACTGTGCCCTCTCAATGGAAAAAGATTGGAGAAGTAAAGGCCCTCCCCCTGCCTATGGCATGCACACTTACTCAGTTTGTATCTGGAAGCAAATACTATTTTGCAGTTCGTGCTAAGGACATCTATGGACGGTTTGGACCTTTTTGTGACCCCCAGTCAACAGATGTGATTGCTTCCCAAGGCAGTTAAACATGAGACTTAGAAGACTTCCATTTTTGCCTCACAGTTGTGGCTTACTCTGGTTTTGGGTTTATTCTCTTGCATGAAATTCACTGTAAAATCTCCTCTGCAGGATTATTTTGGACAGCTATGTCATACACTACAGAACTTAAAACCAAAACCAAAATAAATTCCTAGCCTGCAGTAAGAGAGCCTGAATTTCTGATGAAGTCCTGAAGTATGAATCCTCTCTTGTCCCCTCTGAAGCTGCTCCACCTATTAAGTGAGACTCCATGACTTAGGAATTTGGCATCATGTTGATGTGTCTCAGTGGGCTGAACAAGAATTATTAATCACTGACACAAGGGTAGATGAGGAGTGTAAAACGGTCAGGTTAGGAGGGAAGCTAAGATTCAGGGTCTGTCAGTCTTCCTTCCATCCTTCCTTCCTTCTTTCTTTCGGAACAGTGTCCAACCAGTCTTACCTTACAAGTGCTCACCTGCTTTCTAGAGACGAAGGACTGTTTGCATGTCCTTGAGGAATGTATGGGAGTCTACTTATACAAGTGGTAAGGAGGGGGATGAGCAGTCCTCTGGCTAGTTTACGGAGTACTTGCCACCAAAACCAGGTGGCAGTTCTGAAGCCAGACAGAACAGGTTTGTAGAACAACGTCATTTGCATTTCCAGTTGCTTCCTGATCGTCCTCTTAAGAGCCTCCTCTTTTAAACTAATTTAATTTGTGCCTTAAATAATAATTTCACAAATAAATGCAATCATGCTTTGTATGTTCCTCCTTCCTTTGCCCGCTTTCATTTTTTCTGCTCTTCTTCCTAGCTCCAGAATTTCATAACCTTGCCTTGCAAACTTCCAAGAAATACAGTTCCCAACCTTTCTTGAGTTAATTCCCAAAAAATCCAAGTTAGTTTTAAAATTTCTTGTTCTTATTAATCTGTGAAGATGGATTATGGTGACATTATTTGGCTGCATAGTGTTCCTGGGAAGTTCTTAAGAAGTTGGGCTGCACTATAGACCTTCCAGAAGTGATCGTGGTGGCATATGGCACTTCATTCTCCTGCCACAAATAGACGTTTGGGTAGCCACATAAGGCCAGCCTTTGATTAAAGCAATCAATTAAATATTCTAATATAATGTTTCATTTTTTTAATGGCTGAGTCAAGAAAACAGAATAGTACTTCCTGTCATCCCACCAAGAGTTAGTACCCACAACAAACCGCTAAAGTACCCCTGACAATGAAATAGAAGCAAATTTTCCAGAGTAAAGCAGCATATCTATTGTGCTTCTCATCCATCATCTTTCATGGGGAGTGGGTGGCAGTTCTTTCCACTTCATTGTTGCATTTTCTAAAACTTACTTTGAAACTGATAAAGTTGAAACTGAAATGTATGGTGCAGAAGAGGGACAGGCTGGAGCTTGTTGATACTGTGTATTTTGGGAATACAGGGTCTTAATTCTGTTTCTGTGAGAACATAATATGGAGTAAAACTCCTTAATTTTTTGTATATGGTACATCTTGTGTCCTCATCTATGTTACATTCCTTTTGAAACATGATATCCTTCCTGTGGATATTTGGCTTACCTCTCTTAATGGTTCAAATGAAGAATTACCTTTGAGCCAGGTGAATTTTGCCCTTGCTCTTTGTGCAGAATTTTATAGCCTCAAGTAGCAGACAGTTAAACACATAGTTTGTTTGCCACATTTGCTTAGCAGTGGTGCTATCACCTTCAGAAACAAAATTGTTTAGTTTGCTTCTCTGCTAGCATCTTTAAATTTAAGCAAACACAAAGACCTCTCTAGAGGAAGCACTGATAAGACATCTTTCCCTCAGTTTGAAACAGATTTGGGCCACCTGTAATTGAGTTGACTGTAATACTAAAAAGCTAAACACAAACGCTGTCATCGGAAAAACATTAAAATCTGCGTGTGGAGCATTTTGTTATAGAAATATATTTAAAGGCAGGAGATGGAAAACTAGGGGCTTACCACTCTGCTGTTGACCCCTAGTTTATGTAGCCAAAGATGTAGTTTCCTCTTTGCATTGGGTCTTGCTGGAAAAATGGGTCCTTCCTTTCCTGTTTCTTCTTGCATTTGAGTAATAAAGTCAAGCTTGAATACAGGTGGAAAGGATATGTGTGTTTTATAGGGTGTGTTGGCCCTCTTGAATGAAACTAGATTGTTCACATACAGGCAGTCCCTGGGTTACGAATGGCTTAGTTACCAACATCCATACTTGCAAATAACCTGCCATAAAGCTTATCAAGTTAAAAATGAGAGTTGAAGACAAGTGCCTTGTAGAAACAAACATAGGACCTTTTGGAGTTTTATGGAAAATCATCACCATAGAGAAAGAGGAAGTGAAAGAGGAGAGGGGAAGGGCCTCCAGAGCATACCTTCTTGCCGCACCCATCCAGAGAGGGAAATCCCTCTGGCACTTTCTTGGTGCAAAGAGGAGGTGCTGGTGAGTGAAAGGGAGGACAAGGAATAAGAACATAAGAATGTAATAAATGAAGAAGGGGAGCCCTGCTGGATCAGAACAAGGTCAAAGTGAGAGAGGGAAAAGCAATCCAGTACACATATGCTCAACAGTATTAAGAATTAACGTTTAGCAGGGGTAGAATGTAAATGATTTTTCTACTCTTGCAGGGGTCCTGTGCCCCAACCCCTGCGAATGGGGAGGGCCGACTATATGGAAGTGTTTCTTGTGTTTTATGTGCACAGAAAGGTAAAATACATATACCAAGACAAACCTTTGGCTTACTCATGCTAGCTATATATACGATCTGATTTACATACAAATTCAACTTAACAACATTTTTAAAAATGGAACTCATTCATAACCTGGGGACTGCCTGTGTTTTAAACCAGAAATAGTGGACCCATAGTCTTCCAGATGTTGGATTGCAGCTCCAGTCAGCCTCAGCCAGTATGGCTGTCAATTGTGGGAGTTGTAGTCTAGCAACATCAGAAGGGCAACAGATTCATCACTCCTGTTACTTACATGGCAGTAAGATGTCATTCAAAAGTCTTGCACAATGCTGCAGATAAACTTTCCTTAAATATACCCCTCACCCACCTATCTCCCAAAAGTGAATCCTGCTTTGGGAGAACTATGTGCTTCATTCATCTTGTCCCAAGAGAGGGAAAATATTAGCAACTAACATTTTATTGTTCTGTTTCCATGGTTATATGATAATTCCTCATTTGGTCACACAAACTTGTGATAGGTGCTAACTGCAGTTTTTGTTAGGTTAGATCCAACCAGTGTACTTAATGGCATAGTTTCATATTAAGATTTGTGAACTGAAAGTGGTAGTGGAGGACAGAGGGGAACCACACTTAAGGAGCAGACTGGATATGCCTGACTAATCATGTCATTCAACAGAGAAGGGAAGGCAGAAATAAGTGCTTGGAGTGAGTTGTAAGCAGGAAGGAGCTCCCATTTTGGCACCTTATAGCCTTGCATTCCTTTGCTTTTTGCTCCAAAGATCTTAAGTTACAGATTTGAGCATCTGCTTACAACAGATATTTGAAAGTTTCCTTTTAATCAAAGTATTATAAATTAAACTAGATTGCACAATACCCAACTGCAGTAATGTTGGATTTTTACTACTCATTGAGAAATTATGCATCCCACTTAGAACATTATTGATTAGACGGAGAAGATATTTTCTAAAGACCTTAAGACAGAGGGGGCAAGATGGATTTTCATTGTCGGCATTGCATTATGTCAGTATTCTTTTCCCCTTGCTTATTGCAGTATATGGCTGGCCCATCCTCAATTCTAGTTTTCACTGCTATTAAATGTGAAACCGAAGTATCTTTTTTCATATGTATTTCATCAATGATCTGCTTTTTGTCTTTAATACTTGAGAATCCATCTTCAGGTGTAAGGGTAAGCAGCCTGGTGCCCTCTATATGTTTTGGATTGTAGTTCTCATTCTCCTTGACCATTAGCCATGCTGGGCTTAATGAGAATTGTCCAAAATGTCAGGTTACCTACTCCTATATTTGGTTCAGTTTCAGAGGAAAGGCTAAGTGAAAGGTGTTCACTGTATAAAGGGGTAGGACAATAGTGGCTAAATTCCTGTGAACCCCTTAGGGTAACTTGCTCATTATCATCTTTGATCATAGCTAGAAAGCCTTTTCAGGTAAAACCTCAACAGTTGGTGGGTTGGAGACTTGGAAAGGACAGGGGATACAATACACACTTTCTTTACTGGAAACTTGATGACAGAAGATGGTATCCTCAAGTGTGCCAGCAAATGTTCTAAGAATATATAAAAATTGAGATTTTGCTGAAGTTCACCATTTTTGCAGCAGTGCTTCTGAAGGTATCTATTGCAAGAAAAAGGACTCGAGCAAAGTGGTGACAAAGCTATTGATGCCTGTGGGAGTAAAGAGGGAAGCTACCATAATTAAGAATATAAGTTGTAACGCAATAAATCACATTGGTTCACACTTTTGTTTAAGACTCTTTACCTAAATGGTTTGTGACCATATAAGGCCAGTGTGTCAGTAGCTTTGTTCCTTGAACATCCATATCACAGTATTAGCTAGAAGAGCTACAACCACACTACAAAATCAGTTTGTCCTAAGCAATGGTTCAACCTTAGAATTCCCACAGTATTTTCATTCAGTCCATGATAAAAATAACCAGTTTTTGAAAAATGAAAGCTTGATAGATTAATGATCCTTTTTTGCGTTTGGGTTCTGTGAAAACTGGTACCAGTGTTTGGCAATACAGAGGATGGCCATCTGGTTCTTCCACAAACAGGCTATCCCATCCTTCCTATCCAGTATCCAGTTTTGTTGAGGAGAGTAATATGTACAAGTAGATAAGAATACAAATCAAGATGTGTTCTTTTTATCATTGGATCTAATCAATACTTTGAAGCACATAGACTGGTTTCTTACCTTACTGTGCTGGCGTTTCCTGTTTGAAAACATTTTAAGTGCTGTTTAAGTTTTATCTGTAAATAAAATAACTGGACAGCCAAACCTTGGGGTACTTGTTGAACTTCAATAACTTATCCACTGGCAAATAAATTGCTACAAAACCCTTTATATAAACTTGCACTCCTTTTTCTTCTGCAGATAAACGTGTAAATAAGATAATGTAGGGCATACCAAAAAGTCCAATTTAAGCAGGGCAATGGCAAGTTCTCCCTAACTTTTGTATGCATTGTAGATTAGTGTCTGTATACGTGTTAATTGTAGTGGGGTTTTGTCTGACAAGCTTGAGATTTATACTTTGAAATAAACTATTGGGTTTTTCACTTTTGCAGTCTTGCGTGGTTGGTTCTGATAATCAAGAGAATATTGAGGTTAAGCACTTTAAAGTGCATTGCAACAATGCAGACATAATGTATGTCTCACCCTAACCAGATCTCCAGGAATGGATATGGTGGGTGGGTGGGTAGATGAATGGATAGACTGCACCAGACTTAGCAGAAAACAGGCACGCCTTGCTACAGCTAACGCCTGAGCATAAGGGGTTGAGGCCAGCTCCAGAAGAACCCCCAAACTTCAAGCCCATGTTTTCAAGAGGAATGCCACCCCAGCCAATACAGTTTGAAGAATACCTCTTTGTCTGAATTCAATTTGTTAGCCCATTTCTTGTACATTACCATGATCGGGGAACGATTCTTGACATCTTTGCTGGAACAAAAAGAAAGAATGAGTTGGCTGTCATTCATATAATGACAACATCAAAATTTTTAACTTTTCACAATGGATTCATAAATGTTAAACAGTATGAAGAACAAGATAGAACTCTGAGGGACACCATAGGCAAAGGCATCACCAGCATTCATTTCACTTTTAAGTTCAAATGTTTATGGACAGCTTTATCCACAAAATTTCTCTCAAATTGATCAGATCAGACCACCAAGCTGTCCTCCCTTTCACTTTGTGAACTAAGATGTAAAAGGCATCTAACTACAAATAGATGAATCTGTCAGTGGAGAATTTTTTGAACTCTTTGTCCCAGATTTTGAGAATTCTTGTTGCCAAGAGTTCATGTAAACTTGAGTGCATCACTCTTAACATGTGCATTTTTCTATACAATTTTGCCTGATATACATGTCTTTGCAAACAATTTTTCCAATATATTTTAATGTTATTTTCACTATATGCATTCCTTTACACATTCTTTGAAGACTCCAAAATTTGGATAAGTACATATTTCAAATGATAACTGAAAATGCAAAATTAAGAAAATTTAACATTTAACAAATGAACTGCTGCCCCACCCATACTTCTAACTACTTGGAACGCCTCCACTGGCTTTCATTAAGCAGATGGAACAATGGTAAGAAAGGGCAATCACTGTCTACAAAGCCTTTCAACTGTGTTTTATAATACACATCATTCATCTTCACCACTGTTCTAATCATTTTCATGGCTGTTTCCTTGCTGTTAGCTCCTTGGACCACAAACGACCTAGCTGAGCTTCATACTAGGGGAGAGGGCATTCAGGAGCAACTTTGTCAAGTGCCCACACCATTTCCAAAGATCCACCAAGTCTTCAACAAAATTTCCAGCATTTTTGACAGGAAAATCCCTAAGCCCCATCAGAAAACTTCCTTGGATGGACCATACAAATAGGTCACCCTACTCCTATGAAAGTCAGATGCTGCTGGGCATAATACCAACCATAACCACAGGCATTGGTCTATGATAGTGGCACTATCACGCTCTCCCTATTCAGCAGAAAATAGTAGAACCAAAATATGTCCCACAGAAGCACAATGGGGAGCAATGGGGAGAATGAACTCCATTCGCTCTCCGGTGCTGGTTTATGGTGAGTATCCCTTTGTAAATGGCAGTTGAGTGAAGTACATAAAGGTCACTTGTTATACAAACCACCATCACCATGTTTTAAGTCTCGGCATCTGGGGCCACTACTGGAGTAGGCAAGGGAGTGATTGTGTGAGGAGGTGCTGCTGCGGCTGTGGCTGTTGCATAGGCTCTCTCACCTCCCTCAGGCTACTCTGGTGAGATGAAGCAGATAGAGGGGGGAGCGGAGGGACACCAGCTATGCAGTAACAGCTGTACATAACAGTGTGGGGTGGGCACTAGGCAAGGCTGGCTATGTGCAGGAAGCCCTGCTACTGCAGAGTTGTTCTAAGGCACTCTGTTCCTCCCCACCTCTCTGAGTTTTGCATAATTATTCATATGGATTTTTTTATGTGTCTTCAAGTCATCTCTAGCTTACAGTAATCCCATGAATGAAAACCCTCCAATATGTCCTGTCCATGACAGCTCTGCTCAGCTCTTCTAAGTTCAACAATGTAACTTCCTTTATGGATTCAATTCACCACATATTTCGTCTTCCTTTTCTTCTTCTGCCTTTGACTTTCCCTAGCATGATTGTCTCCTTCAAGGAGTGTCAGTCTTGTCCTTTTCACTTCTAGGGAAGTTTCTGGCTTGACACATGGATTTAGTGTGTAGTTTTTCAGAGTTGGCTTTTATTTTAAAGTGAAGCTTGATGCAGGGGAAGTGCATATTCTTTTAGATGCAGAAAATGAACCATCTGATTGAGAAGGTTAAAGAAAATAATTTGCTCGTTATAGTCCAAAGATTCATGATCTGAACAGGGATGCTAAATCTCTTCAGTTTCATCTATGGGTGATATATAAACTTCTGCCATGTCTGTTCTTAGACACCTTTTTTCTAATTTAAAAAGCCCCCAAAGTTACAGCCTTTCATGCCCATGAAAAAGGTACTTTAGCCTCCAGCAAGAAGCCCAGGTGTTTGTCTGTGCATGTCACTTGTTTTTCAATGTTAAGTGTCAGTCGCTGAAATCTAAATTGAAACTCATTCTGTCTGCTAGCAGTATTGCATTCAGATGGACTGATCTGTGATCAGTGCCTATATTTAATAGCATACAATTAAAATATTGTCATCATATCACAATTCAGTGCTTCTGTTGTTCAGAATTTAAGATCTGAAGTGTTGTGTTGGTCACTATACAAAGCTATTTGCACCCAGTACAAAAGATTTACCCATGTAGTTTATACTGAAAAAAGTATAATGATAAATTGAAAGACCCTATTTTAGAAAGTCTTCACTCTTCACTTATTTTGGTACATTATTTTCTGTATGTATTGTGGATGTATTTCTGTAGACTGATACAGATGATTAGTAGGCATGAATTAAAATTACATTTCCTTCAAGCTACATGTCACTTAATCTATTCTTAATGCATTGAAAATATGAATATTATTGTCATTGCAGCATTTTAAAATAAAACTTCAAATGCTAGGTGTGAGTTTATAACCTACTATGGTATTAGTGAGTGTGATGACTCCATCATGTTGGAGATAAATTCTACTTTTGAAAGTTACAGTAGTTCATCTTATACACTGTTTCATTTTTGCTCTCTCAGTAGGAAGATGCAGTTTTTGCAATTTATTTTGCTTTTGGAAATGCTTAAAGAGCCTTACAATGCAGTAACACTAATCAATGCTAAAGAAATTAAAAATAGGGAAATCAATATCCTGGGAAATTGTGTCTTTTCTCTTGTGAACCTATTTTACACTGTTCAGGAACTAACAAGGTGCTGTGAGGGGTTGCCAAAATACCATGAGACAATAAGCAATACCTTGCAATAAGCTCCCAGAAAGAGAAGTAAAATGTTGCTCTTGAGCAAGCCTAAATGCACTTTTGGAAGGATTCTGTATTTAAAGGTGGCCTACTAATAATTTTTCATAAATGTCTTCTGCTGAGTGCTGAGAAAAATAGCTTCATTCAGTGTTTGGCAGTGAAAATGCTTTCCTGAACCGCACCCCTTCCTTATAGCAAAAGATCACATTTGGCCTTTTTAAGGTAAAGAGACAGCAATCTCACAACAGGTTCTCATCAATTTTGAAGTAACTTGAAGTAACATAGGAAAATGGAAGAAACTACAATGATGTGACATTATACACTACTCTGAAAATGCAGGAGGTCTCCTATCTGCAATCAGTTTGAAGAGAGGATCCAGACATGAAGATTCTAAAACTGCCTGGGGGAATCTAGGAGGAGAAAGGCAGAATTACTGCAAATCAACAGAACTCATATACTGTATGGAATTCTATATCCCACCTTGGAAATGCTAGTTTGCTCGCAAGGAGATCCTTTTCTCTGAGCAAGTCCAAAAAGATCTCTGCATGAGCAAGCCGCCACCTTGCCATGCAGTGGCTTGCTCGCAAGGAGATCGTTTTGGACTTGCTTGGAGAAAATGACCCCCGTGTGCATCCGCCCCTGCCTTGCCGTGCAGCCCCCTGTCCCAGCCTGGCCCGTACTCCCTGCCCGCACCACCTTGGCGGCCCGCGCCCATCGCCGGCACCTTTCAACTGGCCCCCTGTGGAAAAAGTTTGTGGACCCCTGCTTTTGAATAAGAAATAATACTCTTTTTCAAAGATATTTGTGGTGAGACAGAACCCCATTAAAATTTACAAAACAAAGTTTTGAAAATATTAGCCAGATATAAAAAGAGGAATCTCATGTAAAACATACACAATTCAGGGTATAATATTAACCTTAAGTGTACAGTGGTACCTCAGCTCACGAACGCCTTGGTTCATGACCAAATCGGGCCACAAACAAAAATTTCATGAAAATTTTGACGTGGGTCGTGAACTCCATATTGGGTGGTGACCAAGATGGCAGCCATCTCCCCCCCCCCCCAAGTGGGGAGATGGACATGATTGCAGTTGCATTCGTGCAGGGAAGATGGGCACAATCTCGGCCATCCCCCTCCCAACCAGCACGATTGCAGCCATCTCCCTACCCCTCTGAGTGGGTAGACGGCCAATATCACACCCATCTCTCCATCCCCCAGCAGGCCCTGTTCACACCCATCTCTCCATCCCCCAGCAGGCCCTGTTCACACCCATCTCTCCATCCCACAGCATGCCCCGTTCGCACCCGTCTCTCTGTTCCCCAGTGCACCCCGTTTGCGCTCATCTCTCCCTCCCCTAGCATGCCCTGTTCACACTCGTCTCTCCCCCCACCCCCAGCATGCCAGGATGACAGGCGCGATCTCGGTAGTGCTGGGGGCAGGGAGATGGCTGCGCTTGTGCTCGGGGTGGGGAGGGGGAGATGGCCATAATCTTCGTTGTTCTTTGTTACTTTCCTTCACATTTTTCTGATTAAAACAATGGTTACAGAACGGATTAACCTTATTTACACTGAACCTTATGGGGAAATTTAACTTGGCTCACAACCAATTTTGGTCACTACCAGAGTCCTGGAATGGATTAAATTCATGAGCCAAGGTACCACTGTGCTTTACCCCACAAACTTAACTTCAGACATGCTGATCTATATTGCATGTGATCACAGTAATCAGTTTGTCAAAGTTTAGTTTAATCATTTGAGATATATCTCTGAAATATCCCAGATATTTGATTGGGCAGCATCAAAACTGCCACCTTGCCAGTACATTATGTGGGATTATATCTTTAATAGAAAACAATTCAGATTTTAGCCAGCTAATTGATTAGTTTAACCATCATAACAAAGCAAGAACTGACAACTGAAGTTTCATAATGGACAATAAGAGATCAGCACAGAAAATTATTTTGAATTCTAGATAGCTATACAGAAATCCGTTAAGTCTGCTTCTGAGTGCACTTCAAAGGATGGCTTTTACCCTTTGAAACTCTAAATGGCACATGGTCATGTAGCTATTTAAAGGACTGCCTAGCCCCACCTGAACCTGCCTGAGTGTTAACACCAGCCTCTCAGACCCTACCTAGATCCCACTATTACCACCACTAGTAAAGGAAAGGAAGGATATGGGTCCTCTCCTGTCTCAAGAACATTCTTTTCAGTAAGGGCCATTTGGCTCTATTCTTTTTTGTTTTGGCACAAGGTGAAAACATTCACATATGTCAGTCCTTTCAGATGTATCTATCTTAATGAATTTAGCCCTGTCTCCTGAGCAACTGCCCACTCAACAATTGACTCATCCAGATTAATCCCCAGTTCCGGGTTTCTTCCGTTCCATGCCTCCTCTCCCTTTGTGCAGGTGTACTCAATATTATTGCCCTAGTTAAGATGAACAACAGCCTACTATTGGTTGATTAATTCTCACAGCACCACAGACTATGTTGTCAACCATAATGAATATGCAAGACCTAGCTAGGGGTAGCTAGGGCTTGTCTGAACTCAGGCAGCAGGGGTTATTAATGGGTGAAAAAGTCCTTGCATATTATGTTGTCAGTTTTAAGGATTTAAAAGGGTTGGCGCAGTGGTTTAAACCTCTGTGCTGCTGGGCTGGTTGATCAAAAGGTTGCCGGTTCGAATCTGCACAACGGGGTGAGTTCCTGTTACCCCGTCCCAGCTCCTGCCAACCTTGCACGCAAATGCAAGTAGATAAAAAGGTACCACTTTGGTGGGCAGGTAGCAGCGTTCCGTGCACTTCGGTGTTTAGTCATGCCGGCCACATGACCACGGAGACTGTGTGGACAAACGCTGGCTCCCTCGGCTAGGAAACAGAGATGAGCACTGCCCCGTAGAGTCAGGCATGACTGGACGTAACGTCAAGGGGAAACCTTTACCTTTACCTTACCTTAATCCCCAGATAACCTCCACTGCCCAGGTTTGGATAAAAGGAACAAGACACAGCAATCCGAGTAAGGCCTTGCATATTTGTAGGAACAGCTGGTATGTACTGCAGCACCTCATGGATAAACTAGCCTACAATAGGCTGTTGCCTCATGTGAACTGGTCCACTCTGAGCTCCCTGCTTCCTCAAACAGGGAGAAGTCCACTGATGGTGCTACGAAGCATTGTTTTCCTTGGAGAGTATTGGAGCCTTTTGCTCAGCTTTATTTATTTTTTAATAAAGCAGATAGTATGAAAATGGCTCAAGAAGGGCTGAGTTGTTGACCTTTCATAAATTTAGTAGCTCTCCCATTCAAAATACAAACAAGGTATTTCTCAACTATTTTGAAATCTCACTGTTAATTACCATTGGAAGAATTTCCTAATCTATGAATAAGCTCATTGTGTAATGGAGAAATGGGTAGCCAACTGTTACAGCAATACTCTCTAGGTACAGTTACTTTTAGAGTACCGCTCCCTTTTTTTATGCAACTACTGGACATTCTTCTGTAACTATGTGCCTGGTACCTCTGTGAGTCACAGGGTTAGGATGGATTCCCCATGGTGAGGCTCTTCACCACATAATATGACTGCTTGTACTTAAGGAACCAAATTTGGAAACACACAGTACAACCTCCATGTTGAATTCACAGTGGGTGTATTTACACATAACAACAAGCCATGGGAAGAATGGCTTGCCATCATGACACCAGAAGCATGGTGAACAGTCTTCAAAGGCAGCACAAAGAAAGGGTGTTGCAGTAATAGAATTTACTACATTAGAACCCTCAGCAATTCAAGGAGCTATTTTTGTGCCGTGCAATGTCCCTTGTGCAATTCTTTGTGGCCACCAATTGGTCTCATCCACTGAATGAACAATACATCTTCAGGCCAGGCATGGGAGCTTCCAGAGGTGGTACTTCATACAGCATGCTGCAGCTCCTACTCACAATTGGACCAAGATGACTGCATGCTACTCCTTTCCTGCAAATGAGTTCGGGAAGAGCTGCTGCTCTTCTACGTAAAGCAACTGGCTGGAATTCTTCCATACAGCAGATGTCCTGAGTAAGTCTTCTTCTGCTCTTTGACTTCAGTGTTACAAGCCCAGAGTGACAGAAATAAAGGGCAAGGAGTTTCTCTCTCCCTTTCCCATGACAAAACAGCTGCTGTGGACACTGCCTGACTGAGCAATGGCTTTAATTCTACAGTCAGGGAGCAGCAAAGCAGAACAATTTTCTCACATGCACACCCAAAATGATTCAGCTTTGAGAATGCTCCAGCTCAATCTCCAGACAGAGTTCAGTAAGCTCTGCCACACAGTGATTGATAGAGGCAAACACAGTAGCCTTCACCAGTTCAGTGAATGTGGTTGGAGATATTTTTGGCACAGTACTGAAGTCCCCAGTGAGGTCGGTTCCTGAGAAAACAGAAATTCGCCTTTAAGTCAAATTGGTACGTAAATCAGATCACATATAGTGCCAGTGCTCCCCCTAGGGGGTTGCAGGACCCCATGAAAGTGGAAAAAACATGAATAGTTGTAGCCAACCCCCCCAACTCACCAGTACATTCTGTTTGCAGCAAGGAATTGCTGAAGAGCTTTCCCTCTCTGGATGGGCAGGACAGGAAGGCCTGGTTTGGAGGTCTCCCTCTCTCTTCTTTTGTTTCCTCTCTTTCTATGGTAGTTTTAAAAAAATTAACAGGTTTATGGTAGTTTGTTCATAAGTACAGGTTGTTCATAACTCAGTCATTCATTCATATCTTGGGGACTGCCTGTATTGCACATGTGCATTTTCTCATGCATTCAAAAACAATAGTAACATAATATTGTAACATCAGTGTGAACAGACACTTCACAGGAATGCAAGGTGACGGATCCTTTGTACCACAAATCCATGCATATTTCAGTACTGAGGTTTTCAAACTTTGTTTTGGGAACTCCCAGGGTTTCATTACAAGCTTAGCAGGCACCTTCAGAAGGAAGGTCAGTGACGATTGAGCAGCTTTCCAGTTTATCTTCTGCAATATACAACCACATTGGAGTGTGTATTCAGATTTTTGTGGGGCAATTGTAAGACAAGAGGCCTGGGCAATACTGAGCATGAAGTGTGTGCACCCTAGGATGGTTTGTTTATTGTGCTACCCAGAGATCTCTTATAATAGATATACAAGATGTTTTTCCAATGGAACAATTGGTGTAGGAAACATTCTTGGATAATTGGATGTTTTGCAAATGTTCAATAGATAATTTCGACATTATAGCAAACTTATTTGCTAAGGGTGGACCCTTAATAAAATGGCACCATGCACAGCAGAAAGTTGTCAGCATGCTTGAGAAACCCCTAGGCTTCAAGCAGTACAAAAATTAATTAGGAAACAACCTCAACAACTTCTGTGGTCACAGAATGAGAACTGACTGCCAGAAGCAAGGAGACGGAAAAGCAGTTTGGAAGGAATGTAACATTTTGAAAGAGAGCCTAGCTAGATTGCTGGAACTCTGAACAGAACGACAACACGCTGCAACATTTTGCTGCAGATTCCACTTGTACAAAATGTACTGCCAAGTGTGGCCCTTTTTGGTTTGACAACTAATCCAGACAGTTAGAAATAAAATACAGAAATACAAATAAGCGTTTTTCAACTCTGTAAAAGAATCAGAAGTGGCTTATCTAAATGTATGTATGTATGTATGTAATAGTTTGAGATAAGAATTTTATCTAATTAGAAAATTGTATTACATCTATGTTAACCTCCAGGAATTCCTTTGTTAGCCTGTTGTATCAAAAACAACCAAGAAATTGTAATCCCGTAAAGACTTAATAGCATAATAAATGTGTTAGTCTTTTAAGATGTTACAAGTAGTTTTTGTACACCATAGGAAGAATTAATAACCCCATGTTTAGAACACAAGTGAATTTATTCACTGTTATATAGTGGAAGGACAAGTTGTAGACTATGTTGAGGCACAGGATGAGCAAATTATGTAAGGGAAATTTTGTATATTAACAGAGTGAATTAATCACATGAATTGAATATGATGATGCTGCCATCTGGTGGCTCCTTTAGAGAATGTAAGAAACAAGATAAATCAGAGTCTCAGTGCCCAGTGGTTTATTTGTTCCACTTCCAACCCTCAGGGGATTTTGAAGATCTGGAACTTCACAGGGATAGCAATAGCAATGTTTGCTGTGTATGTGCAGATATGTTCTCTTGCCTTCATTCAAACAAAACCATTCTGAGACAGCTGCAGGTGTTCAGTCACAATGCATCTACGTAATTTAGTGACTCCTGCTGCCAAATGTCAAAAAGATCATTCCCGTTCTGTGTTGGGGACTGATTACTGTACTCAAGAGCACAAATGAAAATCAGTGAGGCAAGAGAGAGATCTGTCCAGCTGTGTATCAGAAAGAGCCTTCTAATTATACCTGAAAACATATTTTACTGCTTCAGTGTAAGTATTAATTTGGCATAGAATCAATAGCAGCCTTTTAGAGCTGCTCAGCCTGGTTGAAAGTGCAAAATAGAATGTAGATTCAGACATCCTCCACTCACCCAATCATGTTTTCATTTAGAATTATAGTGTTGTGAGACCCTTTATAAAAGTGACTTGTGTAAGAGGGTATAATAAGCACTGTCCAAGCTGCCCCAATCTAGGATGCTGCAAATCAACCTGCAGATGCTGCTGCTCTCCTCTCTGGTCTGTCTCTGCACTGAGAGGGCAAAGAGAGGCCTACAGTTCTAGTGTGTCCCACATATGCTAAGAATCTCAACAGCTGTACCATTGCAAGCATTTGCCCGTTACACTGCTGTGGAGAGGTTATAGAAAATAGGCTTGCTTTGTATTCCAGTGGGAGGATGTGGTGGAGGAGAGGTAGGGGAGTCATTTCATTGGCCAAAGATTGGTTATAAGTGATTGGACTCGCTGCCATGGCATCCCTGCATCTGATGTGTACTCTTTCAAAATCATCTCTCTGCAGGGCATATATAGCAGTTGTTCTCTCCCGGCTCAACCTCAACATTACCAGCAGAATCTTACTTTCTAACTCTAGGCAGGAGTTCAGTGTCTTCATTAATACCTTCAGTAATGATATTTCAGTGTACAAAAGAACAGAAATGTGGCTCTCACAGTATGTGTATGAAAGGCAGACTGCTGGAACAAGAATTCCATAGAGTAAAACACACCAACAAATTAGCCCAGATTATATGCTAAGTAAAGCTGAAATCTGCAACCTGATAAGGTCCAAGGTTTAAGAAACTGAAACTTCTTGTTAGGTTTTGGATTGGTAGGTGCAGGGCACATGACTAAATGAAGGGGCACAAGACTGCTATGGAAAGAGTGGTTACAAATTGTTTTTAGCCTTTAAGCACTTTAGAAGTTAGGACTATCTACTGAAATACTTTTGCAATAAGTCTAACACCAAGGCATATTTAGCACAATATCATTGACCTATATATTGTTGCATGTTGTTACATGTTGTCATAGCTGCATAAGGTACCTAGCCTTCAATGCTAAAAAGAAAGTGTAAGATGTGCTTGCCAATAGCTTTTATTCAGGGTAGCTAAAAATGAGATTTGCATGTGGTTAAGAAGCTTTTCCCTTGTGAGCTACCCAGCGAAGCTCCTTTATACTGATTCCAACCATCAGCCCTGCCTTGGCATCGAGGGCTACTTCAGTCTCCTCTCATCCAGGTGAAAAGGTCACCAACTGCCTAGGGTGTGCGCAGAAAAGGGTTCTTAGCAGAGAGCCCACGGCTGCTGTTTCAAAGCATCTGGAACCCAAGGTCTCTCAGCAGTATTCACTGAGAAAGCATACTGAAGTGAGAGTTCAGGCACCAGTTATATCTACAGAAATCACTAACTGCTGCACTGTATGTGGAAACCTCTCAGCCAGTCTAAAGAAAACAGGCATATGTAACCTGTTCTGGAACTTGAGTCAGGTCAGCCTGTCACTTCCAATTAAACTTGTGATGGTGGTACAGTTGCTGTTGGGAGTATCAGCATTTCCTTCAGAGCCCAGAAAAACATTTAGCGCAGGATAGCAAGTACCTTGTTGTACAGATAAACAAATGCAAGGAGTGCATATGCTTGCTTTGTAGCTAGACATATCGCAGCCTCCACTTTCTGCTGCTGCACTCTCCTTTGCCTGCAAGCATGTAATGTTATTGCATTGCATCTCCACCACTTCCCATCCCACTAAATGCAAATTAGGAAACAAAAAGTGGAATCCCAGGTGGGGACAGGAGTTTATTTTGTATGGCTGTATAAGTGTAAGCAGAGAACTTTCTTTTCTCCTGCTGGTTAAGTTTCTTATTCCAACTTCACAGCATTGGCTTCATAGTGATGAACTCAAAGTTGTAAGAATCTGGCAAGCCCTGGTGTTTAGTCCGGTTGAAATGGTTCCAGCTGAAGACAGGCAGGTCTTCCTCCACTGGTGGGCCACTGATAGCATAGGCTGTAAATTTTGCAGACATATTGATGTCTGCTATCTGGAAAACATTAGAAGAGAAACTATCATTGCAAAGAAAGGAAGGGTGGGTGTTTTCCACAATGAGAATGCCCATAGTGGTTTGAACATTCCTCAGGTTTGAACATTCCTCAAATCAGACCAATGAAACATTTGCTCAATATGTGTATTATTATTATTATTATTATTATTATTATTATTATTATTATTAGAAAACTAATAAATGGCCCATGTTTTCTGTATCCCAGGAACAACATTCAGATACAAAACAGGGCACCATAAAGGATCACAGAATCACTTGCAAATACAACTGACCCATTTATTAGGCAAGGTGGCATGGTCCCTTCACTTACAATGGCAGACTGGGGCCTCTATTGTGCAGATAAACCACTTTCTTTATATATTTCTACATGACCCCCATGTTTAAAAAGCCAGCCCCTGGTGGAGGCAACAGAATATAATTTGGGTTGTAGAAAAGCACTGAGCATGCCTGGGCATCCTCATCTTTGGTCCACTAATACATATGAAACTGTTTGGGTTTTAGTATGTTAGGAGAGGGGTCAGGGTGTCTTTAGATAGGCATTGGGAATAGATGTGTGCCCTCCCAGTTTTGGGAGGGGCTTGAAGGGAGAACACTGTTCTGTTTCAGACCCTCCAGAATATTTTGAGTCAGCCCTTCCTATGAAAATGGCTCAAAAGTTTCTGTGTAATACAATGGAACAGGAGGAAAGTTTCAGGGTTTATTCAAAGGGAAACTTTGAATCAACTTGGCTGATCTGAATGCATTTCCCCAAGATTCTGTACACCTGACAAAGGCAAGTGCCCAACCTCTTAAGAGCATTTGTTTCTACAGTGCAAGCTTGGTAGCAAATCCAGGCACCTTGAAAAAATGCATTCACTGCTTCTGTTGATCTTGTTGCTTAGGCAGGGCAAGGCTCAACTTTCAGGACAGAAATTCTGCAGCCTCCCTCCACCAAGAAAGCTGGGCAGTTCATATGAGGCCATGCTGACTCTTGAATGATCGATACTAATTTCCTAACAGTGAGATTAAGACTGAATTGGTCATCAATCTCGAGCTGTTTTTGCCATGAACAGTATGAGTGAAGTGGCCAAATTTCAGACCGAGTACTGGTGCCCAGCTCTTGCATTACTGTTTGCCATGTATGCCCAGCTTGTGCACAGACACATTTCTGGGAAGCAAATTCTGTAAAAACTGAGTATCATTTAACTGTGAGTTTACAAAGCTGTTGACCCCTGTGATTACAACCAGACATATCACAGTTGCACAGAATGGTATGAAAGAGCAGAAGCAAGCGTGCATGCGGGAGATGAAGAGAATGAATGCCTGCTTTCCCCCTTCCCACAAGCAGGGGGAAAGGGACGTTCATCTGGAGTCTTTACCTTGGAGTCATAGCAGCCAGCAGGAACTGGAGTCTTGGGATTCAAGTCTGCCCGACAGCAAATGGTATTACAAGGATTATGCCTTGCATAGGGATCTTTCTTGTAATCTAGAAAATAAAAGTTGGGGTGGAGGCAAAACCACTCAGTGAGCTTCATGACTGAATGGGAAGGAATTTTAGCTTGGACAGGTCACACATCTAAACACCTGGAGTGAAGAGGAAGGAGAAGACCTTTACTCCAAAATCAAATGGTCTGTGCCAGATATCAAATGCTCTGGGGTTAAACCGTGCAGTTTCAGCTCTATAGAACGCATATACCACTGGCTGATCACAAGGCAGGTATTTGCACAAAGTATTTTAAGAACAGTTCAGAATGAGTCTTACTGGGATCTGTTTTGAAGATATCAAATTTTAGGGAACCTAAGCAATGCAGGTTATTTCCTCAGGTGCAGAAAGCATAGTAAATTAAGGACACAATCCTATACATGTTTAGATAGAAAAGGTCCCTCTAATTCCCATGCTGGCTGGGGAATGCTGAGAGCTGCAAGCCTTTTTTTTCTGTCTAGAATGTATGGGACTGTGCCCCTAAGGGTCTTGGAGGTCACAGCATTTTTTGAGTCCCAGCTCCAAGATCCTACAATCCCACACCTGGGACTCCAAATGCCAAGCCCCACCCACCCTCCCAGCCAATGTGGAAAGAACTGAGCTGGCTGGCCCTCATCTGAGGATACACATGAGCTTTAGAGTGCAGAGGGGCATGCCAGGGGAAGAGGCAGAGACATGGAAAGATGCCAGCTCCAATCAGCACCTCAGCCTTCTCTGCTCCTCTTCTTTGGTGCTAAATCTATACAGTCATAGGTGGCCACTGCCACGTCTCATTCCTGCCATTGGAAGCCTTTGAAACTTGGAGTTCAGAAGCTTACAAATATGGGACCCAGGGACAACAGAATTGTTCCCTAATCTTTCCTGAGAGGGAACTCATTTTAGTCAAAATGTAACTCCCATCCATCTATGCAGATTTACCAAATTGTATCATGCTGTTTTAAATTCAGCAGCCTTTTCTCTGTGTTCCATTTATGTTCAAAAATGTAATAGCCAAGGGACATTGAACTCTTCATACCCCAGGATAGCTTGAAAAGGTTAGCAGGCACTAACTATGGCAGTGGTAAAATGCTTGATAATGGGTATTATCATATTATAGAGGGAAAATGTTTTAAAGATAATCAGAAAAATGTAAAATTGCATACTGTTGTATCTCATTATATACTTCATGCTCTCGATGTCTGTCACATTTCCTTGGTCCCGTCGGAAGATTTTTGCTCTAGGAGCCATTTCATATGAAAAGTCCAGGCCATACTTTTTAACGTACTCTGCATATCCACTCAAATTGTAGATGTTTTCATGGAAAGGAATGTTGTAGGAAGGCCAGTATCCTATAAGAAGAGACAGTACCAGTGAATGGATTCAACTGGAATCAGCCTTCTCCAACATGCTGTCCTCCAGAGGTGCTGGAACGCAGCTCCTGTCATTGTCAACTTTTGACCAAGGTCACTAGGATGGTGACAGTTGCCATCCAACACCTTCTGGAAGGCTCCTGGGTGGGGAAGTCTGAGCCAACATTTGAATGTTCTCAGAAAGTTTGATTCTAAAAGCTGAGCTACAGAAAATGCTACCCTGTTTTCACTCTTTGCTCATAAGCAAATCAAAGAAATATAACTGAACTTGCCTTACTTAGCTCTTACAGCTACCAGTTATAAGTGTCATTTGGACAGAATGAAGTACCAAAGAATCCTCAAATTCAACAGAATGGCACAAACAGCTTTCTCAGTTTTAAGCAGCATCTCTCATCTTTATCAGCTGCAATCTGGAATGACTTTATACCTAGTGTGGAACTGTCATGCAAAATGGCTACCTTTTCTTTTCTGCACAAATATTAATTTGGAATTCCTGATATGTTATGACTTATTCCTAGACCTTTCCTAATTCTTACTAAAAAGCAGCAGCAGGGGGTGGGTATTTTCTTGCTAAGCCCATTGTTTTCACACACAGCCCTTTAATGTTAAAAGTTCTATGAAAGCATTTACCTTTACGAAGAATATTTGTCTGATCAGAATATTCCACAAGTTTGGGAATCTGTTCAATGACATAAAGAGTTCCCTCATCAAGACTCCTCTGCAGTTTGACTTTGTTTGTATCCAAAACCATGTATTGGTTATTATATGTACCTAAGGAACAGTGAAGAAAAAGTTAAACTTCCATTGCTTTTATTCAGCAAAGGGAAAATATATACAAAGTAATTTCACATCAAATATACCAACCAGAGTTTTGCTTTTCAAAAATCTGTGCCCAGACCTTTCCAGAGTCTGCCATCATGTTAGCAATACGGACTCTCTGCCATGCGAACAAGCTCTCGGGTACTACTTGTCTGAGAAGAGAACGGTTGTATACACTGTTTGTAGTCTGCAACAGGATCAAGCCACTGCCAAGTATATAAAAGTCATCTAAGGACTCCAAAAAACCTGAATACAAAATAAAAGAATGCCTTTTAACCATGAACAGACACTCATATCATCCCATTGCACTTTTTAATTGCTGTCATATTGACAACAATTATGACCAAAAGGCTACATAATTTCATACAACTTATTTTAAAACAGACCAAACAAGATTTATGTAAGGAAAATATGTAGCTGATTCTATTCATAGAGTACTGAACATAATACACTACAATTTTACTAACTGGATTCCAGTTGATTTGCTTTCTCTAGATGCCTTTAGGGCTTTAGACTAACTTGAATGGTCTTTCTTAAGCAAGACTCTACAAAAATTAAAATTTGGTTCCAAACTGATAAACCTTATTAGACAACTATTCACAGGCAGAGCAAATGCCATAGACTCCAAGCCCCTTCAAAAACAGAGGCACAAAACAAGAATGTTCAATATTTTCTCCTTTATTATATAGAGTTAATGATGAGAACATTCAGGGAGTCCAAATGAATAAACAAGTCCACACAATAAACTTGTATTCAGATTAAATACTGCAGATGCTATCAAGTCCAAAGAATACTATTACATATTAAAGAATATCAGGAAATAGCAGGATTAAAAATAATTCACCTAAAATCTGAAATGATACATTTGAAAATGGCAGAGGAGGAGCAGAAGGTGCTAGAAATAAAATCTCAAAATTGATTATGCAACCATCTAATTTGAAATATTTAGCTATTCCAAAAAGATTTAAAACTATATAAAGCTTTGACCCACTATATAAACAAGGCTGATGCCAGATCATAGAAGTTGTACATACCTGGAGGGGGACATTGTGCTTAAGTGCTTCCATGCAATTGCTATAAGCGGAAGTGGGAGAGGTATCTGATGATAAAGGTGAAGCTAGATATAGTGCCCATTAACTTAACATCTGTTCTAGGAAAACTATTTGAAAGCATTATAGCATCAGTAAGCACTTGAGGGACAAGCCCTGCTGAAAAAAAATCATCATTCCTTCTGCAGGGGACCTATTGAAGTTCTTTGAGAGTGTCAGAGAACTTAATGGAGAACTCTGAGAATGTTAATAAGCACACAGACAGGGGGGATCCAGTAGACACAGTTTACTTGGACTTGGGTATGTTTAGGCAGGGAAAGAATAGATTTCCTCATTAAATGGAGACATGATAGCAATCTTCAAAAATCTGAGAGGTTATCATGCAGAAGAGGATCCAGACTTGTTCTCTAATACTCCAGAGGGCAGGGCTAGCAGCATTTGCTGAAGCATATTTTGACCGAAACATTAGGAGAAAAGTTCTAACAGTACAAGCTTTTAGACAGTGGAACAAGCTGTCATGGAAGTATTTCACTGGAAGCATTTAAGCAAAGCCTGGATTTTTGTTTTTTAGGGATGCTGTAGTTATAGCCTCCTCTGAAGATCCTATACAAAGTAGAGGATTGGACTAGATTACCTCCAACTCTAAAATTCAATTACCTTATTTAACAAAAGACAAGAGTAAGAAAAGAATTACCAGCAAGGCGACCCCTAAATCAAATATAATTCTTTGCCTTTGCCATCTTCCATACACCCTAAATTTATTCAATGTTTGAATGCTTTACTAGTAGTTATTATAATAATTCATCTCCTGACTTTATTACACAATCTGTATGCATTTTCTAACCCTGTAATAATGCAATGAATGGAGGGATAGTATTTAAAAGTGGCTCAATTGTACTGGCAGGTGTTACTGCTCTCCTTTCTAGCAGTTCCAGCAGGAGACCAGTGCATGAAGCTAAGCTACAATCTGAAGAGAAACCAGCATATAAAGCTTTATTATGCTATCTACCAACCCCTGACTGTTGCAGGGCTAGTAAACAAGCAGTCCCCATCTTGGTGGCATAATGAAAATGGCAAAATACAAGCGATCAGCTATACAATACACACTGTTTTCTTTGTAGAATATTTGACAGGAGTCAGATTCTAGGCAGTTGACAATACCTGTCCAATTAACTGAGTGATGTACAAACAGTATCACAATGTTTGGATGAAACTTCTGAATTGGATGATACAAAAAAACCACTACATGAAATTTTAATGAAAAATGAATGAAATAAGTTCCAGGGTTGCATGTAGAACTGAATTCACTTCCCTTCTAGGCTTTCTTTAACATGCCCTGTTCACTTTAAGCTTCAGATAACTCACCTAGACCAGAAAATACACATAGGACTATTTCCTAAATAGTCACATTCACTAGTTCTACAGTTCACTCATATAAAGTATCACACATAAGCCTGATAAGTAAATGGCATGTACTAGCATAAATTATCTCTAGTACATGGCACTTGCAGGTGCAATGAGTTTCCCAGGCATTGTGCTAGAGATGGATTATGCCTGCGCAACATTCTTTATCTTGGGAGTAATGTTGCACTGAATACAACCCACAAAATACAAGAAAAGACAGTACTTCCAATGCATCCTCCAATGCAAGGTACTGCACAGATTACCTTGTATCAGCTTGTAGATCCCAGTGATAACTTCCTGCCATTCTGTTTTGCATGTTAACTATGATTAGCCAGCTATGGCTGAATGACAACACATGCAATCAATTGCAACATCTTTTGGAATCTAGATTTGGCCCTGCCCCACATGTGTAAACCTGCCTGCATGCATTTCATACTGAAGTAAAATAAATGGGAACACAATGTATGTGCTTGTTTTCAGAGCTTTTTTAGGACCAACCAACATTCATAATGCAGTATGTGAGTATCTGAGGTACAAATGACTCTTTCTCAAATTCAAGGCATGCCAACTTTTTTACTGACTCTGCTTCCATAGCAGTAGCCTAACACACAATGAGCAAGCAAAGCTTTTCTTGGCATTGAGAGAAATGGCAAAGAAACCTCTATTTTGCAGCACCCTGCTTGCTTTTTTTTCCCCCCATCATATCCACTGTGTTGGGACGGTGAGGAACATGAAAAATATCCAGCCAGCCTGACAGATGGTCACGTCTCATCAAATGCATTAATAGGGATGTACTGGGAACACCTCCCATCAGGGGCGGCCTGAGATATTTTGCTTCTTGAGGCAAATATCCCCTCTCCTCCCTTGCAATCCAAACAAAACAAAAAACAGGATGGCAGATGATTCTGTTTCACCATGGATAGAACTGCATCCTCTGCACCTGAACATGGCAGGCTAACTCAGGCAGTGCAGAGTGGGTCTCATCTCCAACAGCTTCCCACTGCCTGAGATGCCTGTTTCACTCAGCAGAAGAGCAGGGCCAGCTGAGCTTCCTGTTAAACACACTGTTTGTATGGGACATCCTTCCACAGAACACGGAAAGCTAAGCAAGTGGACAGCGCAAAAGGCTAGCTCCACTCAGCCAGTCGTTACGTATGACTAAGGTTTTGTTTTCTAAACCCTCCTCTCATAATGGAAAACATGATAAAGTTGAATCTGTCACAATGTGATCGCAGCAGGAACAAGTCCTATGCATTCCTTATAAAGCAGGATGGAATGAGGCCACTAGCTAAAGCACAACACAGGTGATGGTGGCGAGATGCAGTATCATTTGAAACCACCTGTTGTTCTTGATCACTGCTAGGAGAAAGAGAAGCAAAGGTGTAGTCCTGTAGTTAGCATCTGGCCTGCTGATAGCCTATATGAAGTGGTGTAAGTGCTCCTCTGCTGGTGGACTGGAAAGCTACTCATGGCAGCAATTGCTCCACCAGAGAGCCCTTGCACACCCACTGAAAGCTCCATGGGTGCACATGCCTCTGGAGAAGCCTCCACAGAGTACCCTAGAGTTGGTGTAATAAATTCCATCCCATTGTTGTCAATGGGAAGGAAGCATTTAAACATCTTCTCCACCCAGGAGAAGGTCTTTAGATGTCTTTTACCACAGATTCTCACACTGCTGTGGTTAGTTGCAAAGTCATGTCTGACCCGTTGCAATCCCATGGACAACATTCCCCCAGGCCTTCCTGTCCTCCACCATCCGCCGGAGTCCACTTAAGCTCACACCAACTGCCTCAGTGACTCCATCTAGCCACCTCATTCTCTGCCATCCCCTTCTTCTTTTGCTGTCAATTGTTCCCAGCATTAGGCTCTTCTCCAGGGAGTCCTTCCTTCTCATTAGGTGGCCAAAGTATTTGAGTTTCATCTTCACTATCTGGCCTTCTAAAGAGCAGTCAGGGTTGATCTCCTCTAGGACTGACTGGTTTGATCTCCTTGCAGTCCCAGGGACTCACAGGCGTCTTCTCCAGCACCACAATTCAAAGGCTGCAAACTAGGGGAGGCGCTGAGCCCCAAACACTCTTTTTCGGTCTGCCAGCTGCTGGGCCAGACAAGCATCTCTCACCAAGCAGCTGCATGGATCAGCTGCTGTGCACTATGGTCAGAACAGAGGCTTTGGGAGGGGCCAGTGCTGTCCAGCCTGCTCATTAGCTATCCGGGGAAAAGAAGAGCAAGCGCCCGTCAGCAGCCTGGCATCTGCCCAGCAGTGGAAAGAGTCCCAACAGAAAGAAGAGGCTGCCCAGGAAACATCTCTTCAGTGCAGCAGCTTCCCTTGAGGCTTAGGTGGAGGAGAGACCACCAAAAGCCTGCCCAGACCCAGAAAAGGCCTCTGTGTGGCTGCCCCATATGCCACTGCACTTGATTCCAGGGCCGGAGAAGACACCCGAGAAAGGCCTCCATGGGCTGTTCGCTTGAGTGGAGGCAGGGGCAGAAGCGGCACAGCCGGCTTCCAGTCTCTCACCTCATGCCCACTAGTTCTGCCCTGCTTCTCACTGCGCCAAGGCTGTGGTGTTGGCAGGGGAGGCAGTGCATGCTGCTACTGCCATAAGCCAGTTTTCTCTGGGTTATTTACTTCTTACATTTCTGCGCCACACAATAGTCAAAGCCAGCCGGGTGCTTCACAAAAATCAAAACCCTAAAATATAGCATGATTTAAAAATAACATGAAACCTTTAATGGATAAAAACAGAGTAAAGCCAAGGTAAAAGCCTACTTCAGGATAAAGATCTAATAACAGAATAAAAAGTTGTTCTCCCAGTGCTAAAAAGCTTGCAATGCAGGCACCAGGCAACTTCTCTGGAGAGGACATAACAAAAAGTGTGTTGGATTTTGATGTGCCTTTTTTCCCTTTACGACTGTGTTATTAGTGCTGGTGAAGTTTAACCCTTCCTTCTTGCACTTCATTCCTGCTAAAAATCTTAGCTGTTATTACGTCTCAGATGTAAGCTTCCCTGTTTTGGCCTAAAGACAGTAAAATTCTAGGGCAGTTTTTGTGCTGTCCCAAAATACCCTCAGCCTGGTTAACAGAGCAGCTAACTCTGTAAGTGGGACTCTGGTATTCAGTAATGAAAACAATGCACAGCATTGCTTCCACATGGCTGTGTTACCTGGGTAGCTGCTGAATGAGGCACGGCCTGTGCTCGTTTGTGGATCATCAATTCTGAAATCCCAATGCTTATATATTCTCAGAGTAGCTGCATATGTAAACCAGCTAGAATGGGCAAAGTAAATGTTTTCATATCCAGGGAGGACCTAGGAAAAAGAGAGAAAGGATGAAGGATCTATGCGGAGTCTTTCTAACAAACTGCAGCTAAACATGTGGCTTTATTTTCCACTGTGTGAGACCAATAAACTGCTAACACCTGCAGATACATATTTACAAGGCATTTAATAACCTCAATAAAGAAATAAATAGCAACCCAATAATGTTTGTCCTTTAAAAGCAATCAAATTCTGACTTTCATTATTAATTTTTGGTCACAGTTTTCAGTCACTTATCTAAACACAACCAGTACTGAAAGTCTAACATATCCTGACATTTATTTCACACCTGCTTAGGTGCTGTATGAGAAAACCTGAATATATGCAGTCATGTTTTCTATGTCAATAATCATATACAGAAATCCTTATTTAGCTTTCCAAAAATATTCTCCAGATTTAATTTAGGATCTACTGTTTCTGAGAAGATTCACTTCAGTAAAATAAATTTTAAGCATAGAAATATTTAAGTCTGGACTAAATGGATGTTGGTCTGATTGAGCTGGCAGTTTTTTTATACATAAATGAATTTCTAGTATCTTGTTGATATAGAAACAATTCTGGCATTTCTGGCTACTTCCGTCAGAATCAACCAGGGCTATTTTAGTATTGGTAAAGATAGAAAAGGGCAGACATTATCATCTTACGCCATTTCTGCCAAGACAGTTGCTTACTTGCTTTAATTGCTGTGCCAGGAAGTGAGAACTCTAAAATTCCTGCTACAGTATTAATGTATCTGATGCCCCTTGCACAGATCTCTGAAGAGCTGCTATGGGCAACTGTTACTTGGAGAAGGCAGTAAGGGGATGGATACTACGGTGATCAGAGACCTTATTGTTCCGTTTAGCACAAAAATACAACAGAAGTTCTGCTCTCTTCTTCAACAGATCTACCAACAATTTGGAGAAATTTTGAAAAGGCAAAAGACAGCTTTTCAGATGCAAGAAATACCCATTGATGACATCGTTTTGGGAATGCTTTTAAAAACATTTATATCAATTACAACCTGAGGTGGGAAAAGCTTACCACCTGCCAGAGTGCCAGTAGACTTATGAACAATTTATGAACAATCACATGATCAGCCACTACATTCTGATTCGAACAACAATGACCCCCAAAAAGTAAACAATGTTTGAAATTAACACTGAAAACATTATGAGAAATGTATCTCTAAGCCTTTGGGATTCTTACAGCAAGATTATGATTTAAGAGGAAAGCCATGGGGCAAGAGGTTAAGATCCTCTTATGGATATGTAATTGGTTAAAGAAGAGAAAACAGGAATCAGTAGTTAGTTCTTGTAATGAAGAATGCAGGACTATAAGTGTACCTTAAACTTCAAGTGTATCTCAAAACCAGGGAAATGGAAATTAAAATGGCAAATTAGTTCAGCATAAACAAGTGTAAGTGGTGAAATTGCCAATTTCACATACATGCCAGTGACATCTGAGTTGGCCCTGACTGACAAGAAAGCGATCAAGGGACTATAAAGGACAATTTGAAGAAAATCTCAATCCAATGTACAGTTGCTGTGACAAAGGGAAACTCCACATTGGGGAGCATTAGGAAAGGCACTGAAAATTGAACTGCCACTATCATAATGCCTTTATAGAAATCTGTGGTGAGATCACACTTGATTGCTGCACCTCAAAAAGGATATTGTAGCAGTAGAAGAGGAGCAAAAAGGATAACTAGAAAGGATCTGAGGTAGTTTCACTACGAATAGGAAAAGCATGAGTAAGGGGCAGCATTATAACGGTACATAAAATAAGCACAGTGTAAAGAAAATGGACAAGCTTTTCTGTGTCTTGTCTCTCATCATACTAAAATCCAGGGTCACCCCATGAAGCTTTTGGGGGAAGGTTAAGACAGATCTTATTTTATGGTTTTAAAGTTTGTTTTGGGAATAGCATGGAAAGCTTGTGCTAATGAGTATTATGAAATGTAATAAATAAATAAATAAGAATCTAGTGACAAGGTTTTCCTTCCTCCTTCCAAATCCCCTTTCCTTATGTGTTATATATATATTTACTATTGTATCTTTATTTAGGAAAGATATTAAGCAATATTTTTGTAAAGTAACTTGGGAGACATTTTTTGTTGAAGAGCAAGATACAATTATTTTAAAGGAAGTGAATCTTCCCACGACACATAGATAAATTATGCAGTTTACTAACAACAAGATATAGTGTTGGCCACTAATGTTTTTAAAAGAAGAGCAGACATATTCATGGAAGATAATACTATCATTGACTACCAGGCTGTATGTAACTGCCGGCAGAAGAGGCAGTGAGCCCCTGTATACCACCACTGTGGAATGTAAGAGGGAAGGTGCTACTACTGCCACGTGCTGTTCACCAACATTCCACAAATCTGCCACTGTGCAAATGGACTAGAGTATGATGGACTAGAGTAGCCTTCAGTCTGGTCCAGCACAAGTCTTGTTTTCTTATAATTAGGTCTTCCAGCTTAGATCACTATGATCAGGGTCAGTGCAAACCTATAGCCACTTGACAGCATATTGAGAGCCATAGGTTTTTCCAGTGACAAGGTTGGAAGAACATTCCAATCTCATAGATGGATCACTACAATCAGAGATTATCCCCAGCCATGCTGCATCGCCCATATCTCTGAAGTCACAAGGGAGATCTTGGAGATGATTTTAGGGGACATTCTAGCAGGGTCCAATAAGGGGAGGAGACAGGCACTACCAAGATGTAAGGTAGGTGGGTGGCTCCTCAGCTTTCTTCCTCCTGTTCCACGGTGCCCCACTAGACAGTCAAAACTGGCCATCTAAAAGTTTTGTAGGGTGGGAGGAAGGCAGAGGTGACCTTCATATCCATGCTCCCTCTGAATGATGACTATCATCCATATTGGATTGTGCTCAAAATCTATTGTTTAAAGCAAGTCATGTGTTATAAAGGTTGAAATATACAAAATTATGTAAACCACGATTTAACTAATTATTCATCAGTGCAGCATCTTACTATTGTTGTTAGATACAACTTCAACAATAATGCAAAGCTTGCTTGATCAAGATAGATTGTCTGCTGATTATATCACTTGACACACTTCATTTGTCATGCTCCAGATCGCCAATAGATTAGCAGTGAAAACAACTGCAGATGTGAAATTCTCGTTTGCACCACTGTGGTATCTGGGAAGGCACGGCCAGTATGACTACTCAGAGCACTAATCACATTAGTCTGCCTTTAAAATCCAATGCTTATGCAAAAGAGCATTTCCAAACTAGCTTAAGTTAGCAGTTGTTATTTACTTAATACTGATGCTCAACCATCTCAGGATTGCATCCAGGATCAATGTGGCCTCAGACAATGAATATATGCATTCTGTCTCTGCAGCTCTTTTAGTGCATCAGGTGTTGGACTCAGAGACTAAGGTTCCCATTTGGCCACGAAACTTCTGGATCAGTCACTGACTCTCAGTCTAACCAACCTCACTGGGTTGCTGTTGTGAGGATAAAATAGAAAGGAGGAAAAAGATTATCTGGGCACTCTTGGGTTCCTTGCAGGAAAAGGATGGGGGTACAAATATAATATTTCATAATCAGATAAGCATCTGCATGTGATTAAAATATGAAAGTAAAAAAATCACATGTTCAGGTCCACAGGTACAAAGAAAAGTTGGTCACACAAACCCCTGGTGGCATAAGGCATATTGTTGGTTTACCTTGATCAGAGCTGAGCAATGACCCATATCCCATTGGTATCCCCCAGAGCCTCCTGGCATAACACTGGAGTCAGTCTTTGCTGAATCTATGGCAGGAATGAGGTCAAGTAGATCTCCAATTGCATTCAGGAAACTAACCTGAAAGGCACTGAAAGGCTAGAAATAGAAAGAGATGACAAACATCTAAGCTTAGATTCAAATGTATTCATATCATAGTGGCTAACATGCCTGAACAACCCTTTTTTCCCAGGGCAGTAGTCTGAAGAACAAAGTCAAAGAAAATTGAGAAATGATGTACAAATTCTGCATAAATTACAAAAAAGCAAACTATCCAGTCTGGCTACCACATATAAGAGTTCTTAAATAACTCAAAATAACTTTTCACCAAAAATAGGTAATGCCACTAAAATTGGCTCCTCTACTGGAAAACTGAAAAAAGTAGCCAATGTAATGCCATTTTTAAAAGGGATTCAGTCGGGTGCCTCTTTAGCAATTTGGCTGCTATACAAGCCACATGAGGAACAGCAGGTTCTTTGCTTGTGTCAGGGCCTGGGATGTGGGTAGCAGGAATCAAGACAGAGGCACTAGACCAGGATAACAGAACTCAAAGCAAGGCAGAGTTCAAACACAGTCCAAGGTCCCATACTGAAGTCAGAGGCAAAGCTGTTGCCAAGGAACAGGCTGAAGACAGGAACTAGGGCACATATCAGAACATAAAAAGACCAAGGATCAAGAACCAAGAATACAGCAAGAGGAGTGAGCAGGGACCTGAGACAGGATAACAGGATGAGATTCAAGAAACAGTGAAGGTTTGGAAAACAGGGCAGGGTAGGGAGGCAAGGCAAGGCAAGGCAGCAAGGCTCAGCACAAAACTGCAAGCAATGGCAAGGATAAGATCCAACAAGGGTCCAAAGAGATACAGGAGCTGGAAGGTGTTGGAACTAGCAGGAAAACCTGTAATGCAGAGGTGAGACAGGCAGGCAGGATGTAGGAAATGAACCACAGCTAGCAGGAAGACCAGCATTGCTGAGTCAATGCAGCAAGGCAAGGCAGGGTACAGGAAGCAAGCAAAGTAAAATGGGAACCAGTTCAGGTGTGGCTCAAGATCTGGACCACACCACAGCTAGCAGAAAGACCTGTGTTGCTGAGACAGCCAGTGGAGGGAACAGCTTGCTCTTATAAGTTCTTCCCCCAGGTCTCCAAGCTGGTACTCACAAGGGGGCTGAGAACTCCAGCAGGGTCTGGAGCAGAACATGGTGGTTGTTCTCATTCTGGCCAGCAGATGACAGCTTGTTGTGGTTGGGGCTGACAGCTTGATGTGGTTGGTCGACATAACAAAGCCCACAAGACCTTTCAGGGCAAACTAGGTCAGCTATGTTAAGACTCAACTCATTTCTTGCATAATTAGAGAATAAATACTTACCATAAGGTGACACATGTTCCCCCTCAGTTTTCCCTATAACTAGGCCAAGAACCAGTCTTTAGCCAGAGAGAACTTAAGTATTACAGAGAATTTTTTCTCTCTTAAAGTATGCAACTGGTTACAGAATAGGAATAAAGTCTCTCCTTCAGCATCAAAGATGGGCCAGGGCATGGGTTCTGAGAAGAGCTTTTGTCAGCAGAGCAGACCCTAGCTGCTAGCTCTGAGCTCAGCAAAAAGACCTCTCTGCCAACAAAAACTGAAAAGCCAGACTTGACAAGTGTTAACAGAAAGCAGAAAGAGGAAGTGGTACAGAGTGCACAATTTGCTCAATATGTTCTTCCTTTCTTTTTATAATGTTGTTTCCATAAAATATTAATAAACAGGACATTTAAGTTATTGCATAAATATTGCAAAATAATAATGGCACACAAGAAACAGATTTTCTAACCAAAATCACTATAGCAATGAAGTATCCATAAACTTTTTAGTACTTTCCTTCAAAATACAGTAAAGAATAAAATACTTTATAGCCTTCTTAAAAATAGAAAAATAAAAGGAAAAAATAAAATCTATGTATTTGGGAGGACAGAAATTAAATTATATGGTAGCTGGATATAAACTTTTGGCTACTCCTACAAATTGCTAAAAATACTTCTTTGTAAACATATTTGCAGGGGGTGGAATTCAAGATGGTAAATGAAAACATTAGAATCCTTTTTGAGGCCAAACAAAATAACAGCATGCTTAAATTCTCTAATTATACATGTGCTCAGTATTTAAGCTATTTATTTCTTGTGAAAGAAGGAATTCCTTCAGCATATAATGCTCGAATCTGAAATTCCAGACCTAATGCCAAAGCAGCATATGCTTGGCAAAAAATAGGAATGATTTCAAGTTCAGATGAGGTCAGTATTATGCAGTGTTTTAATAGTTGCTTAACTAAATGGTATTTCCTATGTGGAAACCAAGAATTATTGGATCTGGCAAGCATGGGCTGTTGGAACACAAACTGATCTGACAAACAGATAGCTGGGATAAACTTGTTTTGATGGACATATGGGTTCCTGAAAAACAAATACAGGTGATATTGCTCAGAGCAAGTAGTGTAAGAGAGCAAAGGAAAAATGGTCTGAAACAGTTTATGGAGCCCTGCCAGATGCTTCTGATGTTGTTCAGAACAGGTGTACAGCTTACGCTGCATATACAAAGTCATCCAGAATATGGAGAGACAGGTGGACTGTTCTGACAGATTATATTTTATCTGCTGTTACTGAATGCCATAAGTTGGTCTCTCTGCATTGTTTTGCTTAGAATGCTGGAGCAGTAGAGTGAATGACACTCTTTTAAAAGTATTATATTTACAAAGACATTGAAAAGGAGGGTAGGCTACTGACTGGATCAATGCAATGAGTATGCAGGCTCTGAGAAAAAAATGTTGACAGAGCTTGGCACTCATCTGTGTTGCAACCTGTTTTACCTTCACCAAAACTTCTCCTGGTTTTAGTATAGTTATGTTACTGACAAGTGCATCAATAAGGGAGAAGTGGTGTAAGTATTTGTGAGGTGATGACTCAAATGGTGGGGAAAAAATTCATCAGTATATGTCTGTGAACATCAAAGATGAATGGCCAGATTGCAGCTCTTCAATTCCTAGTTCACCTGCACAATTCAAAAAGTTCCCCAGTCAATCATGTAGATGCAGCTCTTGCTATCTTTTGTTTCCATTGAAACCAACAGGACTTGCATCATGTCTCAGCCTTAATTCTATACTTACTTCCTACAAGTAAGCTTCATTGAACTCAAGTGGACTTCTGCATAGACTGCACTGTCATTGCATTTCTTTTCAGTGCAGTCTTAGGTTGACTAACATCATCTGATGTAATCCAGAGGGGAAATAACAGCTACTCCATTACACATTCACAGAAGGAGAAAAAGAGTTCACATTTGGACATAGTCAAAAGATTTTCAAGATGAGATGAACTGCAATCCCACAATTTACATGTAATATTACAAAATAACTGTCATGCCAAAAAGTGACTTCATCTTCCCATATCAGAGCAACTGTTCCTCTGAAACCACTAGACATGGGGTGATTAAAGCAAAATACTTGGGTTTGCATCTCCATTTTCAATGGTTTTTCATTTATTTCCAAGTAAATATGCTTACTAGGATCAAGATATACTTGTGAAATAATTCTGACCCATTTTATGGATCTTTCTTTCTGTAGCTCACTTCAGAGAAGGCTGGAAATAAAATCAAAAGGGATAAATGCTATTTGTTTTAAATGCTGTTGATCCTTTCATAAGCCCCAGGCTCCATGTTTCCTTGCAGTGCTTAGAGAAAGATGAAAAGGTCAGTTAATTATTCATGTCTTTACCCGCACAGTGTGAAATAAAATGGCTGCACTTGACAATAAAGGTGAAAGCTATTTATCTCCAGTCACTTCTCAACTCACTAATTCACAGTGCCACTGCTTCACTGATATCCCAGAGGGTCTCCAGCCCACACAACAATTAGGGCTACAGCTCCATGCAGTGTCACTTTGCTTTCTATTCTGTTTGTGTGATAGATCATGCTCAAATGGACTTTCTTCACTCCATGTAAGTTTCCTAAAAGGCTAGTGTTGCAATTAAGAATTCCTGGGAATAATATTAATACTCCACTATGAAGCCTATGTTACCTGTCCCATTTCATTTAATTTCATTTAATTTCATTTCATATTGTTGCAATATAAATTGATTCTTTACATGTTTGACATAGAGAAGAAAGCAGTGGGAACAATCTAAGTTATCTTTCCTCTTCTGCCTCCAAGTGATTTAAAGACAACCCAATGATTCTTACTGTTCTTTTCTGTTGTTTAGCCCACTCCAGAGTTCCCATGTACAGCCCATCCAACTGGGCAATAATATACCCTGCATGTCTCCAGAATGGGTCGTCCTTGTTGTTTTTTATTTGTTGTCTGGTCCACTGATCTTGTTTCCTGCATAGGAACAAATCTGACTTTAGAGTTTGCTTTTCATTCCAAATCATCTCAGAGATACACTTGGTTTGCTACCAGAGTAAGTTTGACTTGGGCTCAGTGGGATTTTTGCCTGAGTAAACATGACAAAGATCACACTTATCAAGCAATCAAACCTTGTAGCCAGCTGATAAAGTTGTTATGGCTGGCCTACTGTTTCATCTTACCCAGGTCCAGGAGACAGAAACCTCCTTTTCCAACACAGTGCTGTAGACCAAGCAAAGTCCCTTAGTAAACTTATTGATTCCCAAGATAAAGGTGCCTGAACAATATGACTCTTCCAGCCTCTATCTAAGAGCTGCAGATGCACCATTACTAGACACGCAAAAGACAAAACACAAGATATTCCTCTGAAATCTCCACCCAGGCAAGGAGGGAGATACCAGAAGAGATATGTTCCATTGAGAAAGAAAGTGCTGGAGGTGGTGTCTTTCTCTTCCAGCACAGGTGCCAGAATCAAGTCTTCCAGCAAGTAAAGGAGCTGGAGGCAGGCATGTGGAGCTACTCTGGATTGCTTATTGCTTGTGCACTGAAATTGATTTGCCTCTTTAAACAAATTATTGTTGTATCCTCAGAATCTAGGCAACCTTCCCCCATTCTGTATTTTTTTTCCAGCATCCGTAATAAACCTTTTATCCTTTTTTTCACCAAAAGCCAGATGGTCAAAGCACAGTGGCCACACAAGAGACAGCCATTTAATTGGTCATGCTAATGCAGATTTAATACTCAGGTTGCAGGCAACATGCTGAGTACAATCTGCAATCTATCTGTGCTCTCCTGAGGACCCATAAAGGCTTCAAAGAAACTCAATTTAAAGGACTCCTTTATATTGTAATTCTTAGCCAGTTGTCCCCCAAGGACTGAGAGTTTGTTTTAGTGGTGAGAGCCTGTACTAATAGGCAGTACTGAACCAGATCTTAAACCCTACAGGTATCAGATCACCACAAAAGTGCAGGCTACATTAACACATGTTCTTTTTTTCAGAATTAATGACATCAGGTTACAATTCAGCCTGTTTTCCAGATAATTTCATATGGAAATTGTTTAGTCCCTTAGTTTAAAGTAATTAACCTGAATTGCTGTAGAGTAAGTCATATTGATCACTATTGATACTTTGCATTGTCATTTACTGCATACAGAAAAAGCAGTCTTGTGGAACCTCAAACACTTAACAAATAACTCAGTACGTACCTCATAAAATTTTTAACTTTTCTCTCAATGACATAATTCTTAATCAGTTGTGGATACAAGTTTGTAAGATGATCACACATACGTCTGAAAGAAAGAGGAGAGAAATATTATTTTTATCCACTTTCTCTACTTGTCACTATCTGATAAACTAAAGGTCCAATAAACTATAGATCTATTATTACAGCAATAGTTGTATCATTGTGATACAAGAAAAACCAAAACAAATGCAAAACACCAGGCATTTAAAGAAGAATGGCTTTGTTCAATAACTATGAACTATCCTTCAAAACTTTTCAATTAGTCCAGAACACCATGTCCAGGCTACTGAGGGGGGTTGATTATAGAACCATGTGATTTCCTTATTACAGTGACTTCACTGGTGAAAAGACTTTCCAGGTACCATGCAAACATTTTGGTCTTAACATATAAAGCCCTAAAAAACAAGGAAAAAAGCTACTTGAAAGACCACATTCTCAGGTTTTAAGATGTTTAGGGAAGGCTCTCTTCTCCATCCTGCCACTGTCGGAGATCTATTTTATGGGAATACAGAAGGGCCTTCCTGATGGCTGCTCTTAGGCATAGAAGTTAGTTAGGCAGACTTTTGTTTATTAAGCTGATGTGTTTGCTAAAGGTAGGTTTTAATTTTGGGGGTACTGTTTAAATGGGTTGGTTTTTATTAATGTTTTTTATGTGTTAACTATACTTTTGTACTATCTATACATTATTGATAGCCATCATCAGCAACAATTTTGGGTAGAAATTTAATAAATAAATACAATTTAACAGTGAAAAGAGAATATAGCAATTGGGATTATGTCTGTACATTTAAAAGGACTTTACTAGGAAAAGATGCAGACTTCATGATTCCTGAACCCCTGCTTAATGAACTCAAGCTCCCTATCCCCATTTGTTGCAGAAAGACAGAGCTTTCAACAGCTAGCTAGGGAAGAAAAGGTTAGTAAAGAGAATAGTTGAGTATCAGGGTGAAGAAAGTATATATTTTTTTCACTGTTCAAACTTCTAAAGGAACAGATATGCCATCTGGATTGACATATCAACCTTACTTTCTACACATCCAGGAGAGCATACAACACACAATCCAGTAGAGCATTACATCTCACAATTGTGTAGGACACCTTTATCCAACAACACAGCCTAGCATAATCTAAAGCAACCCAGATCAAAATCCCCAGAAGTTCAGCTCAAAGTTAATGATCCAACTATTAAAGTAGAGGACAATGGACACCTCTGAGGAGCCAGCTTATCTTTACAGATCACTGCCATCCCATTCCATTTACTCCATCGAATAGTTCAAAACCAATGGCAACTGAACAAGTGCCAGCTCAAGATGCTTGGTCCAGCCAGATGCCAGCACCGATATTCTGAAATAAATTATGGATAATTTGTGTTTACTTAAAACTAATTAGGGTCAGCTTTAGGCAACCCCATCCTTTACATGTCCAGAGATACTATGATATCATCTATCCTCCTAAAAATATACTACATTCTCCATATGTAATAAACTTGACAGGACCTCCCTTTGACTCTTCCTCAGTCTGTGTATATATCTCTTGGCCCTTAAGAAATATTTCATATTTCCAATAGCCAACCATTACTGATAACTATTCAGAGCCTGGTGTGAATGAATGGATGCAAAAAGCAACCAAGTTTAGGGCCCTGCAGAAGTTATATAGGCCTAAAAGTGACAAGGAAAAGTTCGGCCTCTTCTCACTTCCTTACACGTAACAGTTGTAGACACTGGACCATCTTCTCCCAAACTATAGAATTCTAAGCTGGTTACCTCAGCCCCTGAATCTCAACTAGAAGAAGAATGAGATCATAATTCCTAGCTGAAATCCCAAGGCCAGCAAACTTCAACGTATATTCCAATACATGGTTAGAAAGTGGGTACTTATTTCCATATGCAGTGGGAATGTGAAAATATCATGAATTTTTGGAGAGCAGTTATCAAGGAAATTAGCAAAATATTAAATTTAGATATTGAACCAGAATTGCATTACTCTCATTATTTCATGAAAGAAAATGGAAGTAGAATATTACAGAATAACAAATTTATTAACAGCTGTAAGATTAGTAAACAGCAAAGAATTACAACAAAAATTGTAAATTCCAATTAAGCAAATGGTATAAAGCCATTTAGAACATAGCTGTTAATGATAAATTAACAAGTGGAATTAAGGTGAAAAAGGGGCTGGCTGACAAATAGGAATAATTTTAATGACATTTGGGGGTTGTTGAACACATATTAAGAAAAGGGAAGGATATAATAGTTTGGTATGATTCAATGCAATTTTGGATGGGAAAGTAGGATTCCTGAGAAAGGGGAAGCACAGAAGAAGAAAAGGAGAAGAGTGGTATATATAGATATGAATAAATAATTATCATGTAGACAAAAGTCCTGGTGTCGAGGTACACTTTTTTTTGTTTCATACTAAATAAATAAATTATTGTTTTGATTGATTTATATGATTCAATTTATTTGTATTGTAAGTTTTTCCCCCTTTTAAATTTTTTGTTCTTGTTGATGTATTTTTGTATGGGATGGTACAGTATGGTATTATCAATTTAGTTAATAAGAATTATAATAAAAAAAGAACTTCGGTTTGGCCATGATGGCTCGCATGCTGCTTTTTCTCCCCGACTTTTATACACTGCAGATCCCTGCTTCACTACTTCTTGATTCATTGAAGTCACAGCTTGTCATAAAATTATGGTTATTGTAAGCGACAGTTTTCCTCCAAAGCAGAATGGGAAAACATGGTATTCAATGGATTTCCAGCTGTGCTTCAGAGGCAAAAAGTTTGGATATTATGATAAATTATAATTATAATAAAGAGGAGCAAATTTTGAGCATGTGAATAAAAAGTAAACATGTAGGTCAAAGCATGTTCCATAGTTGGGCTATGACAACCAAGTTTGTGCAGTATGTCAAGAAATATTTCATTTGTTCAGAACCTGCTAGAAGTCAACTAAGAGTGTAACTTTCTGCAAGTTAAGACAGGAAAAAGTCCACTCCTACAGCCCCCAGCTTGTCCCAGCCAGCCTGACTGGCTGGGCTGTCACCAGTAATAGCCTTTATACTGTCTAAATATGCACAAGACTGCATGCAGATTATACAAAATAAGGAACAGTGTTGCTACTTAATACAGTTTAATGACATACGTATCAATGGCATTGTTTAGTTAGTAGTCTGTTTATGTCAGAACACCCTCAGCTATTATCTTCCAGGCTTAATCTCTTGAGTACAGGAAATCCTGTTTAATTTAAACATCTGCAGCATATACAATGTGAGCTTTTCTCAAATGTCTGTTTATACCAACATTGTAAACCATGCACTAAGTGACAGAAATGATCCTAGATTTTATTCTCTCGTTAATACATAACATTCTAAATTTAGATTATGAATGTGCCAGGCTCTGTTTTAAGACAGTGTGGACTTCAACTGGCCCAAAACAGGGTAGCACAACTGCTGGTGCAAGCAGGACCACACGCACGACTCCGGTATTGTATCATCTTCACTGGCTGCCAGTTGAGCTCCTGGCCCAGGTTAAAGTGCTTGCTTTAACATGTCATGCCCTGAACAGCTTGGGACCAGGATATCTGAAGGAATGCCTGCTCCCACATGCACCTGCCCAACCTCTAAAATTGGTTTCAGAGGCCCTTCTGGAAGAGCCATCCTCCAAGGAGGGTGGCAATAATAAGGAAGATGACAAATAAAAGAGTTGCACACCACTTATGGAACAGCCTCCCAAAAGCTGGCGCCTTCATTACAATCTTTTTGGCACCAGGCAAAAACAATTTTCTAGACATGTTAATAACTGGTTTTATCTTAGTAATTTTAAAGGTGGTTTGTTTATACAGCATTTCCACTTTAATCTAGACTGTTTTAGATTATCATTCTCAACTGTATACTTTTTTTCTTCCTGGGTATTATCATGTGTTCTATCAGACAGTTCTTATTGGTATAATGTGTTTTTAGTCTATTATAATCTGCTAAGAGAGCACTTGGGCTTCTACAGCGGAAAGTAAGTACAGGTTGTCCCAAAAATTTGACATTATTTGAAATGTGAATATCTGAGTAACTACATGTCCTAGGCAAACAAAATTAAATAGGCTTCATGTTGAACAATAAAAGATTTATTTATTGAAATTCAAACAAGAGATTCAAAGAGATGTCAATTTTATAACCAATTTCACAAAGCTTCACAAATGTTCAATATACACACTGCCTGTGACACGAAACATGCCAAGTCGGTAGTCCACCTCCTGCCAAACACGCTGTAGCATGTCTTGCGTAACATTGCGTAACTAACATTAGTTAGTTTTTACATGTTTTATTAAAATTTGAGATCATTTGAGCAATAATTGGCTATGTTATTAGAACTACGAAATGATGTCAATTTTTTGGGGACACCCTGTATAATAATAAATAAATAAATACATGATTTTGTTGTATAGCATACATATTAAAATTTCAGAAATTGAAAGTTTGGCTTTGAAATTATAGTTAATACAAAAATTCATCATGTTTTGCTTCTTTTTTGAACAATGAACAAACAGCTGATCCAGAATTGTCAACCTTTCTATCTCATTGGTGATGGAAGAGTCTAAAAATCTTCCTGAATGTAAATATGCCAAAACTGAAAATTATTCCCAAACTCTTGCATGCTGCTGTGTGTGTGTGTGTGTGTGTGTGTGTGTGTGTGTGTGTTTATAAAAAATTGCTAACAGTGCACCATCATTCTCTCAATCACATTTGCAAAGGTACTTACGAAGCAGTGAGATAGCCCTCCAAGAAACCTGCAGCATACATGAGATCTTCATTCTTTATGGTCTGGCCACCATAGCCAGCTTTGATCTCAAGAATCCCCCATCCTGTAGAGTATACACTGTCATTATAATAGCCATAAGCATCACCATTCTTGTCCAATACATCCTTAATCTGGAAGGATTTTGCAGCTTTCGACCAATATACAGTTGCATAGTGAATGTCTGAGAAGATATAAAGGAGAAAATGGGAGAAACAGAGACTGGAGAATTAGAATACCCTGAAAACAGTAAATATAGGAAGTACTAGAGAACTCATTTCAAAATGAAATAGTAGATCCATGGAATTGCTTGTTACTGAAGATGGGTGGGATAAGATTTTCTTCCTAATCACTACTTCCTGCCCATTAAGATGAGCATTAACTATCAGGTGGTGCATATAAAGCAGATTGCCAAGGATTAAAAGAGTCCATCTATCACTGGAAATTGTCCCTCATGACCAAGGCAAAAATAATTTCATAGGCCAATTGATGCTGGCAGTAAGGAGGCCAGCTCTTCTTTTATATTTCCCATAAGATGTTCCTTTCTTTCTATGACTATAATATGTCAACTTTAAGAGTAAATAAATCCCTTTTGAAAAAGGAAAGTGAATTGGATTCTAAGAAATGCAAGCAGATATCTGAAAATGAAATGGGGTTTCCTCCACCTTCCCTCTGTAGCTTGGTAAGCCCCACAGAAAGTATTCCTGAGGACTCAGGGACCCTCCAAAATACCATGTTGTAGACTGTGTGGAGATACTGCTGCACGGAGAAAAATAAGTGGAAATAGGATTACTTGCATGAGTGGAAGCACTTTCTATTCACCTTAGTGGACCATTTGCTTATTATTCATAAACTGCTTTTCTTCTTTCCAAGGAACTCAAGGCAGCTTACATAATTCTCTTCTTCCCCTCAATCTTATCCTCACTACAACCCTGTGAGGTTGGTTGGGCTGAGAGTCTGTCATGGGCCAAAGCCACCGAGTTAGCACCATGGCTGAGTGGGGACTAGAACCCAGATTTCCTGAGTCCCAGTCCTGCACTCTTAACCACTACACCACACTGGCTCTCACACTGTTGAAGCCAAGCCATACATTCCCTAAATGCTAACTCTACTGAAGTCACTCTTTTTTGGAACTATGCGGCCAACTTGCATATCCCTCCTAAAAAACATTTTGTATAAAGAATTACTGTTTATAATCCCCATGCTTAAAAAACAAACAGCTAAACTATTCTAATGGATGATCAAATGTAGAGCCAGGAAATCTTTCCACCATAGGGTATCATCTGTGACTCAACCTTGGAGACTTCAAAAAGATATGGAAAATATATTTTACATCTATTGAACAGCACTATATATTCATATAAAAATATCAAACAGTAAATGCTAAGATTGAAGGATGCATAACCACTACCCAGTTGCTTGCCACACATAAATTTGGCTTTGAATTATTCTTTTTGAACTATTTCAGTGTAATTCAATTCTGCTTCAAGGTATGACCAATCCGTCATACTAATAGCTACAAGAAACCATTTTGCTTGAATACTTTGACATACCTGAGAAAAGGCTCATTACTTTTGCCACTCTGAAAATGACCTTACCTGACAGTAATAAGGAGGATCACCTTCTGAGTTCCCAAGATCTGCCTTTTCCCCTCTCTAGACTTTTATTATGTTGGATTTCTCCATTAGTCTATCATATAGCATATCAGTTTTATACCTTCACATGAAAGAATCATGGAGACCCATGAATTGAACAGTATATGAGCAGAGCCAGCTTGTGCTGGGAGTCAGACTAGATGGCCCAGGAGGACCCTTCTGACTTGCTCTGTTTCTATGCTTCTAATCAGCTACTGAGCCTCAGCTATTGCCAATATAAAAATGAAAGATATATGTATACTATTTACAAGACAAAGCTTTAAAGAATTCTGCTTAAACATGCTGCAATTTATTAACGTAAACAGCCCAATCATAAACATGTACTGCAGACATGAATACATGAACCAAGAAGTTCCATTGATTTCACCTGGACTTATTGCTGAATATCTTCAAGGATACCAGGACACAAGCACCTTTAAGTCGAATGGATCAAGTTTAAAGACAAAAGAATGGACAGATACATCATTAGGGTTCTGAGCCCAGTGTAAGGGGCACAACCATTGTCTTCATACCAGTACAACTACATCGAGTCATGAGTGTAGGACAAGCTTTTAGTACTCCAGTGCCAATATGCACTGTCCACTATTGCTAGGGGAGTGTTGTGGTGCACAAGGGCACACTGCAGAACTTAGGGCAGGATGTATCGCAACCTATGAGCCTTTCTTGCCCTTAAAGACTACAGAAAGTGTTGCTAACCTTCAGCTGTCTTTTCTAATAACAAACTATAGACTCAGCTTGGTCTATGCTACTAACTAGGAACACAATTAGACTTCAGCTGTTGCAGGCAGGACTGCTGATGCAAACCAATGTTTGGTACATCTAGTCACACTTGCACTCCATAGTCTCAGCAGAGAGACATTGAAGAGAGAGATAAAACAGCATTCAATTTAATATGATAAAGACAACAGCCTATCAGAAATAATTTATCTATTTATCTGAAATATTTTACTGTACCTTTTGCATTTTGTCCTCAAAACTTCTTACAAAATTTGAAAAAAACAAAAAGGAAAACTAATACCATAGTCCCAGTGATTTCTTGCATTTTAAAACCAAATTAAAACACATGGAGTGCCAGGTAAACTTTCAGTACAGCAGTGTGATAATCATCAAATTAAATCCTGGAATAAGTCTGGAGGGTGAGATTAGTAAATGAATTTCTACAATATGAGAAACTTTGCCCACAAAAAAACATGTGGGAACAAATGGGCAGAGCTTTGACAAAACCACTGTCAGGGAAGGAAGCTTTGGGAAGGAAATTCAGGAACTCTGGGGCCCTAACACACACCCAGCCCTTGGACAACAATCTGGACCACAGAGTGGTCCTTAAAAATTCAGAAGCTGACCATTCCTATTTTAGAGCAAGTTGGTTACCAGGTAAAACTGCCAAATGTTTTTCAAGCAATGTCCCTGTGTGTTTAACAGCTCCAGGATAGAAAGACATTCTAAATTTTATTTTATTTTTTTTCTAAGGAGACATACTGAGGATGAAAGTTGCACCTGCTTGATTTCTATCTCTCATCCAGCATTCACATGAGTCTCTGCCAGAGAAATACTGGCAAAACTATTAGAAGTGGGTGCCTACTATGTTTGTTTCTGACATTGCCATAGATTTTCTTCTTGCTACTTTTCTTCCTCTGGTGCGAATTACACAAGCAAGCATATATTCTGCACATTTGTATTGTCAATCCTAATACACACACACACACACACACACACACACACACACCACACACCATGTGCAAGTTGATATAATGTTACAAAGTATAAACAAGAAAACAGGAATCAAGAAGAACTGCATAGCTCTCCCTTAATGCTGAAGTGGATGGATAATAAAGATGGAAACTAAGGACGTAACAATAGGTTCCATTGGCAAACTTTGGTTTTGTTTTATTTCCAAATTATTAAAAGGAATCACTTCACTCAAAGCTCTTTGCTCCTAAAACTAATGAGAATATATTCAGAACACATTCTGTTACTAATGATGATCCTGTAAGAACTGTGTCTGTCTCAGTTATGCATGTTTACATGTACTGAGAAGCTCCCATGGGTGAATTTCCCTGCTGGATGCCATTGTGAAAATTTCAGCAATGGGGTGGGGGATACAACATCTTGTCACTACATACAGGCCCAATGCAAGCCGCCCATATGCCTAAACCAGGTCGTAGGTTCTGTGTGGATTGTTAACCACCCCAACAACCTATCCCAGCCAGATTCACATATACTGATTGTGAGCCATCCCACAATGCCATGCATAAGGAACAGCATATAAAAGTTTTAAATAAATATAAAAATAAGCTGCAGCATGCCCCTATTACAGCTGCATTTTTAAAATGCAAAAAAGGGGGAAAAAGCAAGGACCACAAGAAAAGTAACCCATGGTAGTTTGCTGTTCTGTGCAAACAAGATCTTCGCTTTCATGAGATTACCAGAGATAGGGATCTGCACAATTTACCTGGAGGGCACCAAGCTGGGGAAGGCTACTCTAGAACCTAGGAGGCCAACACAAGAAAATGCAGCTATGCTGGCTAGGGGTTTCTGGGTTTTGTAGTCTAACACACCTGGAGGGTACTTGATTGGCGAGGGCTTGTCTAGTCACTGGAGCTGTAAGAAGGAAGAGCTTGCAGTGTTCCTGACTCCAAATATAAAAGACAGTTACTGCTAAGTGTGAGAACTTATACAGGTGAGCTGAATGGGGTGAATCAGGAGCGTGGGAAAGATGGATCAAAGGGTCTGCTGAAAAAATAACCAGCAGACACTACTAGCCAGCCAAGAGTCACAGGGAAGGCAATACTGGGAGTGATAAGAAGGGAACAGAGTAACATGAGCAACTGCCTGAGTGAGACAACTGGTTCTTGCCCCACTTATCTACTGCTTTTCTGACAACTAGGCTACAGTTTCAGTTGTACATCCTTCTGCATACGTTAATATACATAAGATACAAGAAATGCATAAGGTTCCTTCCAGCACTTTGAATGTTGGATCTTTTTCCAACTCCCTATGCATTGTCAGCACTTTCATGCTTAGCACACTGTTGTTACATTTTTTTCCTCGTTGCTTCCTATGATCTCATGTTGATTTTGTTTGCAAGTGATTCTTAAACTTATACATAACTGTGAACATGCCAACATAGAATTTCTTGTCATCTGATCTGATTCTCCAAAGTTTCATGTCTCAATGAAACTGGTAAACCTTAAAACCAGTTTTAAAACCTTAAAAACCATCACCCTATATTGTGAACTACTGCAGCAGCAATAGTTTAGAAAGAAGTCCAACATGTACATCACCATTTGACATTACTGCCTGTGGTACTATGTTTGGTAACATCCTCCTACAGGAACATTCATTACCATCACACCAAGATAGTAGTGTAGTGCTGAAGGAGGGCAGGATAGTAGCAAGTTAAGCAGTAAACATCTACAATCTACTGTTCTCACAAATTAAACTTTATGTGCCTGCACTTTCTCTTGGTCTTTCAGTTCCAAGTACAGCATGTAGTTAAACTATGGAATTTACTGCCCCATGATATAGT